TACTCTTTCTTATTTGGTGACCATACTCTTTCTTTGCTTTTTTTCGTTCTTTTCAGAAAAATAATTTATAAAAGGCACTCATTCTTCTGCCATCCTATCAAACACCATTCGATACTTCAACGCAACATCAAACATCTTATAAGTAGCATTCCACCGAGTTTTCAAATCCATGGGCATTGTTGATGTGCTAGAAAACTTAGCTAGAACTACAAACTCGCTAAATTTATTCAATCTTGCAGGTGAAGAATGAATAAAATTAACTGCATTCCTGCTGGATTTAATTGAAACATCTAGTTCTTTCAAACCATCCTTAACAATTAAGTTAAAAATATGGCACGAACACCTCAAATGCAAATATTTTCCTTCAAATATCATCATATTTTCCATGTTCAGTCTTATTTTCAAATAATCAATAGCAGTGTCATTCGAAGATGCATTATCAACTACTACTGAAAAAACTTTTTTTATCCTCCAATCTCTCAAATAGAATTCAACCATTTTTCCAACCTCTTCTTTAGAATGACGAGTAATTTTAGTGAAACTAATCATTCTCTTGTGCAATTTCCATTCACTATCTATAAAGTGAGCTGTGATTACCATATAGTTAATGTTTTGAATGAAGGTCCAAGTATCAGTCGTGATACTCACTCTTTGGCCATTTACTGCAAATTTAAGTTTAGATTTTTTCTCTAAGAATAAATCATAAACCATAGCTGCAAGCTTTCGTCGACCGGAGAGCTTGAATCTTGGTTGTAACTCAGGCACAATATTGATGAATTCCTTTCATTCAATTGCTCGGAATGATACTTTATCACTGTTCGCATATTCAATAAGCTTTAATGCACACCTTTTTTGCAACAAAAAAATATTATTATTTGCAATAAAAAAAATGTTACTATTTTCAATAAGAGAAAAAAAAAGTTCAATACACACAATTTTTAAAGGAGTGTGAAACCAATGAACTTCCTTGCACAATTCCTAGAGACTCTTTCGTCAAAATACATTATTTTTCTTCATTCTCACTTTCTTCGTACAATGGATTTATCTTACATCTTATCACCAAATGATTTTTCAACCCACTTGGACTTCCTGAGTAGCAGAAATCTCAACTTTACAATATTTGCAAATACCGATCGGTTGCTTGCTTCCATTTCTTAATATTCGAACTCCCTGTTCACAATGCAACTAATATTAACTCCTTTGTTTAGGAGCTACTGAGGACTTTTTTAAATCTTCTCCTGATCTCGCTTACGAATTGTGTACTCATCAGACATCTCACTATTTAGAGTTGACAAAGAACCTGAAGGTTCAGACTCCATTCTGAAGAAAAAAAAAAAACAATAGTTAATTTATTGCTTGAAAAAAAAATAATTAACCCTATTAGAAAAAAAGATGTTTGAGGGAATAATAATAATATTAAGAAGTCTCAATCAAAAAATAATAAAAAGACCAAAACCACCACCAACCCTTAACTTCAACATAAACCCACCCTATATTTTCTATTCTATCACATTCATATGCATACATTTGTAAGTATAACGAAGAATACTTCATTTGAAGGCAAAGTGAAAAAGAAGAAAAGAAAGAAGGATACGGCACCACACACCGTCGTTGTAGCCTCTCTCCTTTCACCTTAAAACTGCTAGTTATATAGGTTATGTTCTTCATCCAAAATTTATATCATAAAAAATAAAATTAAAAAAAAAATCCAAAAGAGGCAGAGAAATCAGATTTAAAAAAAAAATTAGAATAAAAAATCAATATGAAACAAAATTTTATAACATAAAAAATTAAAAAAAAAATCCAAAGAAACAGAGAAATCAGATTTAAGAAAAAAAAATCTATATGAAGCAAAATTTTATAACATAAAAAATAAAATTAAAAAAATCCAAAATATTGGTAACTTATAAAAGGACGGCTGACGAGGTGGACGGGTCCGACGAGGTGGGCGGGCGGCAGACCGATGGCTGCTGGTGTCTAGTGAGGCGGGCGTCGTTGACAGGCGGAGTTGGTCAGCAACTGGAAGACAATAGACGGCAGACGGCTACCCATACGGTAGACGGCTTTCTGGTCTGGATCATTGACTTGTGCGTAAAAGAGAAATGAAAATGGAGTGAGACTGTGATTGGAGTTGGACCACTGGAAAGAGTGGAGGGGAAATGAAAGTGATGTAATGAATTAGGGCTACCCGAGTTAGAGTTTTTTTTTAAAAATAATTATTTATATTAATAATTAAATTAATATATTATCGGTACGGTATAATACTGAAATACCAAACTTTCTGAAAATTCATACCGATGCTGTACCTTACCAAAAAAAATTTTATACCAAAATTTTTGGTATTTTTGGTATGGTACAGTATGATAAATCAATATTTCGGTATTTTCGGTAGGTTTATCCATCCCTACGCTAGCTTGTTGGTCTAGCCGCCGCTGCTGCCTTCTCGAGTGCTGCCGTCTACAACTCCAACCGACGACATCTTCGACCAGCTACATTGCGGCTTCCACTGTCTTTGCCCTCCAACCTCGAAATATATTTCAATCACATCACCAATTTTTTGCTACAGTTCAAGTTAGTCGGAATTCCCCTCATTTTCCTCAATGTTTGTGTCCTCTTCCCCCTTCCTATGGTAGCGCCATCGGTCCCCATCATTTGTTCTCTTAGTTACTCTCTTTTGTGCTCTATTTGATTGAGTTTATGGTAGATTTATTTTTTTGCCGTTACTTCGTTGTTCTTCATGTGCTTGGTAATGGACATCCATATGTGCTTGTATAATTGATTAGTTGTACTAGCTTGAGTGTGACTTTCTTGGTTTAGATAGTCTTATAGCTCATTTTCTTGGATTAGATAATTTATTGCTTGTTTAGATTAGTATGGTGTAGTACAATTTGTTTTGCCTCTAACTTGATATTATATGTTGTATCATGTTTTAACCTTAGTTGTTGTTGCGCGAATTCTTAGATTGGATAGATTAGTTTAGGTCTCATGTTGTATTAACTTAATGTTGAATGTCTAATTAATTTAAATAAGTATGTTGCTTTTGAAACCTACTTCTTGTTGCTGCAATGTTGATTATTTTTGCTAGTGTTGTTTGTTTAAATATATTAGGTTAAGTGTTGATTGTTGTGTCAATACTTTTAATTTTGGTTTGTCTGCTTAGATAGGTCTTGTTATCATCTTAATTATGTTTCATAACCCCAGTTTAGTTTGGGACTGCTGCGTTAATTTTTTTAGGATAACCTGCTCCTATATTTTTTTTAGATTACTTTTTTTTTATGATGTGGGAACTCGTACCGCTACTCTTTGAGTGTGCTTTGGGTAAACCTCTAGTCGAATTTAATACCCTGCAAATTATGTATGATAAGGCAAGTCACACTAGGCGAACCATTGTATTGTATTAGTTCAACTTTGTTATATATTAGTGCACCTTTAGTTGTTATAATATCTTTTGCAATTTAGTAAAAGTCTACAATAGTTTAGTTATTCATTTTGCTATCATTATTGGCTGCATGTTAGTTTATTTAGCTGCTAAGTAAATTAATTTGATCTAAATTTGTGTATTGACGAATGGGCTTAATTAGTGAGATTCTATATTTAGTTTGCTGCTATCTTTAATTTTATTATGTTGAATGTTTAGCCTTATTGCCTTAGATTATTTAGTAGATTAGTGTGATCTTTTTATTTTCATTGAAATAGTGTATATTGTGTAGGAGAAGAGAGAAGTTGCATCATAGAAGTACTTATTTATGTGAATTTATATAATATGGTCAAGTGAATTGTGAAAGATAACTTACTATGAAGCACTTTCGAGTTATTTAGTCCACTGCTACCATATTGATCATTTTAATAATTGTATAATGTAGACAGAGAATTTGTTTCTCTTTCATTCACTCACTCATTTATTGAACTTTACACACATTTACATATACCTGGATGGTGGAACAACAAAATATCATTTGCGTTCAAGATGGCTGCAAATTTTTACAAGTGAGCGAGACCGTCGTAATCTTGTAAATTAATATGTTCAATTATTTACTTCTAATAAGTTTAGAACTTGGATTTCATTTGCACTTTCCATTTGCTTTTATGTACATTGCTGAGAGTATATATATGATAATATTATTTTTTTGTTGGCGTTGTCAAGAAACGATTTGGTATCTGTGTCAATTGAAGAAACAAAATATGACAACCATGTAAAAGTTGCCAAAGATTCAAACTCATTAAGATCTTTGTGATTCGGATGGAGATGCCGGTGCTCTCTCGGTCACGTGATGTATGTTTACTTAATATTTTGTTTACTTTTGACATTTTCTGGAGTGATGAAAGATTAGTTTATTTTATGTTATCGTATGATACTGAGAATGAGGTTTATTTTATATTACACGGTGTTTGTTGTTTAGATTGTTGTTAGAATGACTTTTTATACTGTTAATTTTTGTAATTGTTTGGGACATGTGTACGAATTTGAAATGAATCTATATTGTTAGTTTGTATATTGTTGGAGACAGGTTAAGAGTTCGAAATGAATTTATATTATTAATTTGTAATTGTTTGGGAGAAGAGTGGGAATTCAAAATGAATTATTGGTGGGAAAATTTGTAAAATAGTTTGTAATGAATTTTAGCAGAATGAATTTCCTCGCAAACTCGAAAAAAATAATGTTATATATTTGCGAAGGAATTGTTCCCTTGCCAAAATTTCTCGCAAAAAGTTGCAAGTGAAATTTTTTTTTAGATCCAAATTAGCGAGCATGTGAATAACGATGATGTTTATTCTTTCGTAACTTCCTTCGTTAATGGACTTTGCGAAGGAAATTCTCCCCCGTAAATCAACATTTTTTTTTTTTGTAGTGTTAGGGTTTTATCTTTTTTCTTGTTTTAGTTAAGTAGTGGATTATAGATTATATTTTGTGACAAAAATGATACGAGTAAAATATAATAAAAAATTACGATAACTATTAAAAAAAAAAAAGAAAGAAAATACTAAAGCAACCAAAAAAAAGAAAAAGTAAACATTGTCTACCTGTCGCCACTCACCATTGATAAATTAGTAAATAATGGGCCAGCGGATGCTCGTATCCACTCCTGCTTCAAAGCCCAACATACCACCACAAAGGCCCAAAACAGCCCAATACACAAATACATAGAAACATATAGTATAATCTAATTTAAATTATAAGTGAAGACGATAAAATCGATAATATATATAAATATTTATATTTATATTTGTATATGCATTATGCATAATTAGAGTAAAATGATGGTATAGTACATGCAGTTAGAATTGAGCGCCTTCGTAAGTGCGACCAAACTGCCAATCAGAGGGCGCCACGTCATAGCTGGTTACGGTTCTACCGTCACTGGCGGTGACTTGAAAGGAGAGGCTTTGGCCGTTAAGAATGGCGTTGCTCTGCCAATTTTGCCCCCAATTTCTGGACATCGGCTGCCACGCCGTCCGAGAGCCTTTGATGGAAACGGCGCGAACGTCGCCGGCGCCGGCGACGTTGGTGATGAGCACGAGGTTGAAGTAGAGGTGGCCGTTGATGGTGAAGCGGATGCCGCCCTTTTTGACGCAGGGGACGCGGCGGTAGACGACGGGGACGATGCCGGCGCGGTAGATGGCTATTTGGAGGAAGGCCGGCTCGGCCATGTCGAAGTGCTGCAGCGGGGGGTTGCACCAGCCGCCGTTGTTGTTGGGGAGGGCGAAGTTTGGGGGGCAGAAGTTGGTGGCGGTGACGGTGATGGTCGCCGGCAAGCACCATCGGGGGTCGTTGGTGCACCGCATCTCGTAGCACGCGCCGCACGTGAGGCCGTTGTTGAACAGCGCCGTGCTTAGTGCCACCGTGTTCGTGCCGTACCCTTGGCTGTACAGATTTCCGTAACCGCACGCGCCGCCTGCACGCCCAAACAAATTCCTCACTTATTATTATTATTATTAATATTGTTTCAGTTTGCTAGAAAAAAATAATTTCAACTTTCCACAGGCACATCTATAAGATCACTTGTTTCAAAAATAAACTTTATCATCCTATCTCCAAGTACATATAGTGCATATATATATACACATGTATTTATGTATAAAGTAATATTTTATAAAGTGTATGTATATATATACACAATTTGTATATGGGACAGTTGGAGAGAATTTTGTTTGTACACACTGTAATAAAGTAGTATATTGTCTATTTTGCTTTTTATATTAAAGTAAAAGGAATGTGAAAAGGTAAAAAATAATAATATTTTGATATTTAATTGATAGTTATTAGAAAAAATAAAAACATTTAATTTGAACAAACTAAAATGACAAAATAAAAGATTTACTCTAGACGGATGATGACAAAATGAGAAATTTACCCTTAGATGGGGAAGTAATAAATATTAGTTTTATTTTTTCGATAAACATAGATACACTATAAATCATTTTAAATTTATAATTATTTACATAAATATCATTACCTTAATATTAATATAAAATAATAAATAATATTTACGTAAAAATATATTACTAAATATCACTTAAATATATTCATTAAATTTTAATATAAAAAATAGATGAATACTTAAAGAAGACATAAAGGAGTAATCAATTAACATAATATTTTTTATTAGGTTGTGTTTGGTTTTGCATGATACTCTTTTACATGTAGATATGTTCCTATTTTGTGTAGATTTGAGTTTGAATTTTGAATATATATATATATATATATACACACACGTTTAAAATTTAATCATATTTTATTTGTTTGATAATATTTGATATTTTTCTATCTTGGATAAAATTTACTAAATCAAAAATATATTTAAAAAATATAAATTAATTTAATTAACTACATAACATATAATATCATAAATTAAAACCACTCAAAAGCCTTCATTTTTATCTTTCTCCTCAAAAGTAAATATTTTTATTTATATCTAAATTTCACTTCTTTTATAAAATTAATTTATGTTAATTATAAATAAATAAAAATATTATAGAAATTTTTATTCTTTTACAAAATGATATCTATATATATTGTATATTTTTTTTTATTGCGATATAATTTTTAAAATACTTAAATACATATTCTAATTTTTTAATCATATATATTAGATCTATTTTAAAACTATTAATATTATTAATTATATAAAATTAATATTATAACTCACTATTATTAACTAATTAAATATCATTTTCTTAAATACTTTATCACTAATAAAAGAGTTCAATTATGTTTAGACGGAAAAGAGTATATGATAAAAAAAATATGCCTTATGAATTATTCAACATGCACTATTTTTAATCAAAAATATATATATATATATATTTTCATAAAATATAATATTAAAATATTATTTAAATCAAAATTCAAATCAAACATTTCATTTTAAATTAACTTCAAACACAGTCAAATAAACCTAACTATAAATCTTAGAAATTTCTCATATATATTCAATACCCTTTAAACAATTTTTTTTTTTTTTAAAAAAAAATCTAGCTCTCTTTAAAACATGATAAAATCCTTCATGATTCTTAAAACATTTTTGGAAACAACTATTGCGACACTTTTCCACGTCTATTTAATATGCCCAAGAAAATTCATCATAATTGAAATTATATATTTGTCTATCATAGTTTAAAATTAAGTATACAATATTTTAAAAGATAGTCGTCTTACAACTATTTTTATGCTACAGCTAATGAGTACATAATGTAGCATTACTGAAATTGAGAGGGCAATTGTCAGTATAATAAAACATGCATGTCAATTCTAATAATCCTACGTCAAAAGTAAAATTACAATAATGATTAATTACGAAATCAATTTCTAACATACTTAAAATAAAAATGGGATTGTGGTGTACATGCACTGACGAAACTAGCATCTAAATCCCGGGGGGCAAAATGTTATAATTTATTTAATATTTAGCTAATAAATTTAAATAAATAATAATGACAGAATTATATATAAATTTAGATAGTTTTGAGGGAGCAAATTGTATATAAATACATAAAAATTAATATTTTTAATAGTAAAAAAATTATAAAAAAATTGGCTTGGGACCTAAGCTCTAGTGTAGTTCCGTCCCTGCGTACATGGTACTGATTAACTCTAATTAATAACAATCCACGTAGCACATGTCACGATTAATCTAACCATAAGGGTATTTGTTAACATAAGTATGAAGTGACAATAAATGGTAATAGTTCACACAACGTATATCATAATTAATTTCAATATAAGTTGCATGTTGACAGTACACAAATACATTATATAAATTGATGACACATGACACAATAATACACAAAGGATATATACATGTAGTTTTAATTCGAGCTATTGGATACACTGAAAAATAGTTGCTCATGTAAAGTGATAGAAATAATAAAATGTGTATGACTAGATAAAATATACTAGTCATTCAAATATATTATCATTTTCTTTTTCTGGTTTTCATCCAAATTTATTTTCGTTTTTTTTAAGTAACAAAATACCATTTTTTTCTATTTTTCTTTACAAAAAAAAAAAGTAAAAATTTCTATTTTTTATCTACTTTTTTCAAAACTCAGTCAAATAAACACACAATTGGATGACAGAGGGAGTATAACTAATCATTTTCTATATATATATATACACAATACCGTACCCATGGTGCCGGAAGCGTCGCCGCCGCCATAGAAGGTGGCGTGACCGTACTCCCACCCGCCGGCATCGGCGACGGCGGCGCGGAGGCGAAAAATGTAAAGAATGAAGAAATAGAAGGAGGCAAGTGGGAGTGATTTCATTGCAAATTTGGTGTGATAAAATGAAGAATTAATTAGCTAGGGTTGGTTTTGGTAGTAATATATATATATATATATATCTAAGAGGTAGAAATTAAAGGAGCATGAGCATGAGCATGGTGTGTATATACAGAATAGAGTGTGTATATCAATCATGTAGATAATTGAATCGAAGAATATATATGGTGTACGCAATTCCTAAAAAATATAAATAGTATATTATAATAGTAAGTAAATTAATTAATGCACATGGAATGATTCTGGTTAGGATGCCAAGTACCTAATGGGGTGGTCGACGTAGTACTGGTAGGCCCTCTTCCACATTGCATGCATGCATGCATGCAAATTCAGCCACGTCATAATATTAATATATACATATATATAGTATATAATACCACTCTTTACCTAATTTTATTATTATTATTATTATTTGGATTTTTAATTTTTTATACTTTTGTAAAAAGGTTTATTTGGGCATTATTTTATTGGTTTTATGCTTCTATAAGTAATTCTTGTTACTAATTTATACAATGTTTTCGTAAATTGTGAAAAATACCAAAATCGTCGACAATAAATTATGGAAGTTATTTACGATTTAAAAAAATTATATATACAAAAAAAAAAAAAAAAATAGAAAATCATATATTTAAATAAAGATAACAGTAAATAATTAATTTATTGCACAAGATTATTGGTTTTCGTGACAGCGATAGATTAGTTTGTCTCATATGTGTATATATATATATAGGCATGATGGTGCGTGTGTGTCTGTATTTGAAAATTACTAATTAGGCTTTATGGGGATGTAAATTACCATGTGTGACTACATGATGGTGTTCCCTTCCTTTTCCCTCTCTTTTCTTTTCTTTTTTTTTTTTTTTTTTTTATGGATGTGATTTTGTCTGTTTCGATTTGTGGTGGAATTTTTTGTATTTGAATTAGAGTGTGTTCGTGTTTCATGAATTTCAACCAGTTTCTACTATTTATCAAATTTTTTCTCCAAAAAAATATCAAATCAAACACCTATTTTTCACTTTTATATTATACTAAAAATCAATTTTACATTTAAAATATCGTATCGACACCTATTTATATCACGTCATACAACTATTTAAATTAAAAAATTTTACTATTAAAATCTCAACTCAAAATTCAAACCCCAAAACAAACACACACTTTCATAGTATTTTGATTTAATATTTTTTAAAAGAAATAATATATTTTCATCGAGAATCATACAAATCGAACAATACTGATTTGAATTTGAATCTTAAATCAAACACACCCAATATTTTGTATAAAAAATACTTCATCCGTCCCAATTCAAAATATCATTTTTTTTTCAATTTTAGAAAAAGTAATCATATACTAGTTCATTAAAAATATTATATCCTAATTACTATTAAGAAAAATTAAAAATCATCAAGCATGAAATGATCAACAAAACCTTCAATTCATTATAGGATTCATTTGGATTAAGATGATTGTAGCCTCTATTTACACAATGTTTTTTTTTTTTTTTAACTTTTTGACACTTCAACTTTTGGACAAATATCATATCAATTTTATTTTTTATATCATAAAATATCACGCAAATATTAATCTTTTTACTTTTCTAAAAATCTTTCTTGGCTTTGTTTACTTTATACACTCTTATTCAATTGACACTATTCATTTTTTAAAAGAACCACATAAAATACTTTTTTTTTTCCTCACAAAATATCACATCAAATACTAAATTTTTACTTCTCCTAAACTTCCAAAATTTCAAAAACCTCCATGTCGGATGCATAATATTCTTAATGACGACATTAATAAAAGTTGGTGTTAGGGAGATTGTGTTTGTACTAATTAATGTAGCCTTCTAATTAATTAAAGTAGGAAGAAAAAGACGACATGTATCATGTATGCATGAGTTAACAATTTAGTTTATTAATTATCATACTCCTTAATTTAGTTATAAAATTGACACTTCATTGAAGAAGCTTTTTGTCCCTTTATATATATATATATATATATATACATGTATCCCTAAAAACTAGACGACATGATCATTTACATCATCTAATAGAGTATCACAGCCTCAGGTATCGAGTTCGAATTCTCGTTTATCGTTGTCTATCCCCCTTGCACGTTTGTAGATGAATAAGACAATTATTTACATCATCTAACAAGTATTATTGTTATTACTCCATGTAACATGACAACCTGCAGTTCTACTATTGCTATTTTATGGATTTAGTGTCAAGACTTTTGAATGTAATACGGTGAAATGTATCTAGTTCTTCAATTCAGTATGCCATTTAAACAAACATTTCATATACTTGTGATCTCAAATATATTATATAACTATAATAAATATATTAGTATTATGAAAGCAATATATTGTACTCATGAAAAATATATTTAATAACAACAAACTCATGAATAAACATGCATCTTTTGTATGATATATTAATATCACTAAGCAATATGCATATATGTGTTGATCCACATATTATATATAACTATAGTCGACATCTGACACTAAAGATAACATCATATGAAAAAACAACTCTTTTTCTTTTCCACCATCTACATGCATGTAAGCAGTGCACCGCTCAGAGTTTTACTCCCTATTTTGCTCTTGTGAACACACAAATATATGTATATACTATATATATGTATATGTCAATCAAGGCTCCTACAAGACACGTGATAATTGAGAAATGAGAAATGTGGTATTTATATACTAGTATCTCTACACATTGATTGATAATTGAAAGAGGATAAGTTCGAGATATGGATTCATAAGTGGGGGTTGGATATTTATGAAGTACATAATAAATTTGGGGCCACAATGTTGGGTTGGGTTGGGTTGGGGTCACATGTGATGGGATCAGTTCCATTCCATGAATGAGAGAGAAGAGAGAGAGAGTTATCCATCACTGGTAGTGGTAGCGGTAACAAACAAAAACTTACATGCACGACTATATATGTGCTACAGTGAAACCTGTTAGCTAGGAAACACATCAACACATAATCTCGTGGCATCTCTACCCTAATGATCAGATCAGATCAGATCAGTTCATACTCTTAACTAAACAATATATATATATATATAGTTATTTATTTAATTACGTACACAAATGAAACACACATATATGCATTCCCCCTCCCTCAAACGTGCATTCTACTATACCCAATAAATAGTAGTTAGTGTCTACACTTGACATGGTTTTTAGGCAATGAAAATCGGCAAGAGATGAAACCTGAACACACTACAGATCAAAGTAGAAATGATCTAATGCCCACCTGTCAGTAAACCAATGAACAATCCAAATCCAGCAATCAACTACGACCATAACTACAGTTACACAAACTCGTCTTTTTTAACCTCCAAGTAGAAACCGACATTTTTTTTTTTTTTTTTTTTCCCTTAAGAGATATATATATGTCTAACTAGGGGAAGGGGCCCAGGTTTAATGAGTGATGGTTCCAGACTAGCCTAGCTTAGCCTGATTGAAATCATGAAGACGTTCCTTCCCAAGTGATTGCCTGCTGCTCAGACAACATATGTTCCCAAACAGACATTAATATATACATACAATATCCCGATTTCAAGATCCCATTGACAGGCAGAAGTTTTGTGTGTGGCTACCGACGACTATATAGCAGGTGTGTGTATCTCTTTAGATGGGATTTTATGCTGGGGAGGGGATTGGATACAAAAAATATCATTCACAGCATCTAATTTCCTGCAACAAATTGCTTCAATGACCAGATCCAATTCAATCTATCAGACATTGATCTAGTTCCGGAAGTGGGTGAACGATATATAATATGGCATCATTAGCAACAACTGGTGATGCAGAAAAGCACATTGTAGTAAAATAAATCAACAGCCTAGTTGGTTGACCACCTTATGTGTTTCTCAAGGCAAGAGATTGCATAGTCAATCAAAGCATAAATAAATCTCTGTACGTCAAAAATGAGGAGAGCAGTTACGTGCAAGGGTGTTTCAAGTGAACTTACCCAAAATAAACTACAGGCTCACTCAACAAAGGCCAGGATAGTAGCTAGATTTGCTTTTGAAATGTGTCAGGTCTTTAATGACCTGCCTAGATGTGCCTTGTGCATCCGCTTCATTCCAGTCTGAGTTGCAACCCCAAACACGGACAGCAAGTCTTCGACACTTGGGCGAAGGTTTCCTCAAGTAAGTGTGGTACCAATTGATGATATCATCCTTTTGAATGCCTTTAAGCTCCTCAGCTTTCTTTTTGGACATGTCAAACATATACCTGAAAGCAAGGAAATGGAGGGTTACGCAAAACAAGGAAACATTAGAGATGCTCATACTCTGCTATAGAAGTTCACTTCCAAATTGATTCTCTTAACATAAGAAACTAAGAGGAAAGCTCCAATCACTGTAAAAACACCACTTGAATGAAGTCTTTCAATGAACTCCAGGAAAAACCTTATTACCAAAACGAAACATTGCATTTGTTTTGTAGCATTCCTCCAGATAGAGAGTGGTCGGCTTATATTTCAGCATGTATGATGTTATATATCAATTAACTTGAGTAAGAACTATACCTATATGTGTGCAGGCATTAATTTGATTTTTCATCTATGTGATAAAAACACAAGAACATTTGAAAGTTTGGGAAATAATTGTCTTATGTATGGGGAAAGTAGTCTTTGAACATTTATAACCAATACATGTGCGTAGACATTGATTTTATTATTATTCTATGTAGTACTTACATTTGAAAGTTTGGGAATTGCATGTCTTATGCATGTGGAAAATAATCTTTGAACATTTATAACCAATATGTACGTGTAGCCGTTGTTGATTTGATTGTTAAACATTTATAACCAATATATGTGTGTAGGCCTTGATTTGATTGTTAAATTATGTAGTAAAAACATGAATACGTTTGTAAGATGGGAAACTGTGTCCTAGGTATAGGCAAAACAATTCTAGAACATTTATAACCAATATGTTTCACGAAAGATGACTTAAAAAATTAAACATAACTTTCGTCAATTGATTGTGGTTCGCAGTAAAATGTGGGGTTTGTTCACTTTGGGTGTTTTAGTTGATGTTTTTTATATTAGGTATGGAGAATTGTGTTGGTAATATAAAAATAATATTGTGTTGAATTGTTAACTTTTTTGTGAGTTGATAAAATATACTTCCCCTGTCCACAAACTAATGTCTTATTTTTCCTATTTGGGAGTCCAAAAATTATTGTCTTATTTCTTTTTTTAAACACAAATTTTTTACTCTTTTACGATTTATTCGTTTACCATTTTTAAGCTCTATCTTATTATAAAGGCTAAATTTGTCAATCCATACAAAAAAGACAATTACTTAAAAAACATACAAATATAATTTAGGACAATAGACTTCCCCCGTCCACAAAGTAATGTTCTATTTTCCTATTTGGGAGTCCAAAAACTATTGTCCTATTTCTTTTTTAAACACAAATTTTACTTTTTTACCATTATTCATTTACCATTTTTAAGTTCTATCTTATCAAAAAGGGTAAATCTGTCAATTCATACAAAAAAAAACCGTGCAAATATAATTTAGGACAATAGAAATTGGACAGAAAGAATATATTATATATATATTGTATTAATGTATGTAAATTATTTCTTTTTTAAAACTAATATTCATGGAGAATCGTTCCAAAGTGAACAAACCCATGACTCCTCGATGAATAAAGAAATCACAAACAATGGAATGTCTTTTTTTCCTAACCAAAAGGTTGATTCTCAAAACCCTAGAGGAACCCTAGACGCTTTTAACTTAACATATTTTAAGACTCTTTGTCGGGCTTAGAAGACCTAATAATCATAATTTTATTACTAGACTCAACAATAGAATGGAATATAAAAACCAAAGCACTCTCGATAAATAAAGTGCTACTATCAACCCAAATTAGGTTGCTTCCTTTCGAGTCTGCCGCGAGTGGTCGATCCTCCCACCGTTGTCATGATTTGTCGGTATCAATTGTCTCCTCCGTGAAAGACGCCATGTCAAGGCAAAAAATTGGAAATTTTTGTTGGAACCGCCTCCGAGCGAGCCACATTGCATCTTCTTCCGCTAAACTGTGCCACTGAACAAGAACCTCTGGCTCCTTATTTGGACCCCGCCGCTCAGCTAAAATATCGCTTGGCTCGAACAACGGTATTTCATAAGTCTCCAGGTTGTCCGGAAGCTCCCCATTTATTGGATAATCTTCCACCACTTGCTTCAACGACACATGAAAAACTGGGTGCACACGGCTGTAGTGGCAGCCGCAGGCGGTATGGCACCTTGCTAATCCTCTTTTCCACCTCAAATAGACCGTAAAACTTCTGGGATAGCTTGTTTGAACTTTGATCTACTTGAATAGAAAGCTGCCTATGCTAACGGACCTTAAAAAATACCTTGTCACCCACTAAAAAGTCTGCGTCCCGGCGATGCTTATTAGCTTGCTTCACCATGCGTTGTGCTCAGGATAAATATGAGCCGAAACTCATAGCATACTATCTCGCCACCTTGAAGGGGTGATATTTGAAACACCCTGATGAGCCGTGTTCTAGTGATATTCCACCTAGGGAAGACATCTCACCCATTTGTGGGACTGTTTGTAAGCAAAACAACGAAGATACGTCTCAAGAACCCATTAAGCACTTCCGTTTATCTGTCAGTTTCCGGGTGATAAGAAAAGCTAAGTTTGAGCTTTGTCCCTTGGAAACGGAACTCTTGCCAAAAGTTACTCAAGAATAAAGGGCTGCAATCCGAAACAATTGATTTTGACACCCTATGAAGCCGAATGATTTCATGTACAAATATGACGGCAACCTTCATCACAGACAAGAACCTACAAAAGCACAATGAATTGGCCAAATAAAGTTCCGTGATGAAATCCATCGAAATATTCTTCCGAATAGCAAACAGAATAGGATAGGGTTTTATCAGGCTTGTTGTGGACATCGTCTCATACTTCAATCTCAGACATACCAAGAAGGCCTGGACATACTCTTGTACGATTTTATACATTCTCCGCGAATATAAGCCAACAAATTAGTACAATCAGTGCCAGCGTGCCCTACTTTGGTGTATTGTGGAACTCCTACAACTTCATAATCCAATTTGAATCTTCAACGATGACTTAACAGCCTCGATAGTACAAAGTTCTCCCTAACAACTCATAGCCTAATTGAGCCGAGGAGTGCGCTTTCAGTTCTTCAATAATTGCGAGCAGTGAAGGACTAAATGTTTATTCCCGTGCCAATTCCTCAAATTTCAGCCACAACCGATTGCAGAGCCAACAAAGTGGACCTGCTACACTCTTGTCGCCACCCATGTCGTACCCTATCCGAGACAATGCACCTGCCACCGAGTTAACCCAACCCTTGTACACCACTTCAAAGTTGTATCCCAACAATTTTTCCATCCAAACTTGTTGTCCCAGGGTCACAATCCTTTGAGACAACAAGTGCTTTAAACTATGGTGATTTGTGTGAACCGTAAAATGTTGCCCAAGGAAGTATGGTCGCTATGTTGCACCACAAGTACCAGTGCCATAAAGTTACGCTTGTATGCTGACTTGGTTAGGGTACGGTCAACCAATTCTTTACTACAGAAAGCTAAAGGGCGTTAATCTTGCATCAATATTACCCCTACACCGGTGCTGGATGCATTGAAAGGCTTTTAGATATTGGAAATCACAAGAACTAGTTTTTAAGGTTGTCTTCAATTGGTCAAAGGCGAGTTATGCTTCCGGTGACCATGAAAAATTGTCTGCCAAGTTCTTCAACAACTGCGATAGAGGTCTAGCGAGAACCCCATATCTATATATAAGCCTCCTATAATATCCTGTCAAACCCAAGAAGCCACGTACTCCCTGTGCCGAAGTTGGAGTTAACCATGGTTGAATCGCTCGCAACTTTTCCAGGTCTGTAGCAACCCCAACAACGGAAACGACATGGCCTAAATACTCCACCAACACACATCCAAACTAACATTTTTTCCTCTTCGCCATGAATTGATTCTCGTGCAACAGCTCCATCCCAAGCATCAAATGTCTTACGTGTTCATCCCACGTATGGCTATACACTAATATCTCAAAGAAAACAAGAATAGATCATTCATCATAGATTAGAAGGTCACCGGTGCATTACTGAGCCCGAAAGGCATTACCATAAAGTCGTGGTGTTTGTCAAAGCGTTGTCTTAGGCACATCTTCCTTTCGAACTCAAATTTGGTGGTACCCAGAATGTAGGCCTATTTTTAAAAAGACCATTGATCTATCTAATTCATCTAATATTTTCTGAATTACCAAAATTGAATATTTATCGGGCAAGGTCACCTTGTTCAGCACACAATAATCAATACAAAATCTCCATCTCTTGTCTTTTTTCTTTACTAATAGCACCAAGCTCGAGAATTGGCTTGAACTCGGAAAATGATCCGTGTTGTAACGTATTCTTTATCATGCATTCAATCTCTTTTTTTGTAAGTGACCAATGATAAGGCCATACGAACACCGGGCCAAAACCTGGTCGGAGTTCTAAGTGACGATAATTGTGGTGCATTTGGGGCAATTTTTCCGACTCCTCGAACACGTCTTCATATTACTCCAGTACTTTCTCGAGATCCTATCGGCCTGCACTGTTGACCAAACCATTCTTAACATAGCTTCTCGGGTCTTTATACAAATTGCCGATTCCATCACTAGAGCCTAAAAGTTTGCTTTCTTTGTTTTCAAGAAGGATTGAAGTGCTACCGGTGAGCACGATAAGGTCGGTCTTCCGTGAAAGGTCACAAGTTCCTTTGGTCATATGTCATTGTCATAGTTCCTCAAATGACTTGTACATCGCCCAAAGTCTACAGCCACACAACTCCTGATATGACATCCATATTGTCGAACGAAAAAACATAATAATCGGCCACCTTATCTGCCTTGCCAATCCTCAACTGCAAGGCCCTACAAACTCCAATACAAACAATCATCTCTTATCCCTGAATGTCACCATAAACAGTACATCATGTTTATTGACAATGATAATCTCCCCACCAATTCTTGCAACAAGAAATTATAACTCACATCGCCGTCCACGAGTATCGCCCCCTCTATTTCATCGAGAATTTCATAAATCCTTATAGTTTGTGGGCTTGTGATACTAGCTAGTGGATACAAGGGTAGAGACGATCCTCCATGTTCTCCTTTTGTCCTCCATCTCCATTCTTGACGACTCGCTATCTCCGTCATCTATATGTTCCAGCCCGGAGTCCGAAGACTCCCTTTCGTCCATGATTAGCTTATGTATCTATTTCGTTGGGCACTCACGAGTTGGGTTGTAGGGTTGTTTGCTTTGAAAACACAACTATTTTGCTGTGAGATCACTAAATTCCTGCCGTGAGAGTCACTTATATTGTGCCCTTGCTGAGGATTGTCCATAGTCTGTCAAATGCGATATGCTATTACGGCTGCTCAGAACAATCTTTTACCGCAGCAAACGCCCGGGTGAGTGATTTACCATTGGTGGACTCACTGTATTTTCTACTCGGGCAAAGGATGGTGATCGGCTTACTCTACAACGGCCTGGATTCCTATCTTAGAATTCCAATAACTCGATTTATATACTATGAATTACTATTATCACAATGTCTAGGTCTCGGGGATCCAACAGTCTTATCTATGACGAATCTCCCGATCCATATCGCTAAAGAAGTAGCCTAGCACATGTTCTTCCACCTAATTTGGAGTTTGTTGGGCTAGTTGTAGAAACTTGTCGACATAGGTATCAATCTCTCCTTCCTATTTTAATGAAGCAAGTTGCTCGCAAGGGCTCCCTGCATATCAGCCATCACAATGACATATCAATTTGCGCCATGATGAATCCTTGTGCTTGGATCGAAAGTAGCAAAATCAATCCATGGCAACCATTGTTAACAATACTCAACGATTCTGCACGGCATCGTGTAGTTCAAACTATTGCTCTACCTTTCTAACCCAACCAATAGGATCAGTACCATGAACATCGACACTTTACGTTTGGTATCGCTACAAAGTTTGCAAAGGCTAGCGGTTGGCCCCCTATCGGTGGCGCTTTAGTTTCGCGCCCTTTAGTCATACCCGAGGAGCCTGAGAGGTCATTGTCCATAGTCATAGGGCCACCCCATGAGGCTCCTGTCAACTCGTAAAATTATGTATGGCCCCCTATTTGAGTTTGCGGCGTCTTAACCATATCCACCTATTGTCCTGTCTCCGTACGTGATGCAACCAAGGCGGTCAAGTTATCTTTCAGCATGTTGAATCAGTTGTTTACATATCCAGAACGTGTATTCACCATCCGGAAAGTTGGACCAAATTGATACGTAGTAAATATGAATCCTTTTATATATACATATATATACATATTCCAACTAATATGCCCAATGGAGATTGAACCCCAACACTCAAGGAAGTGAATAGATAATCAACTACTTGAACTATAATTTCTAAACAGTAAATATGAATCCTTATTGAATAAAAAAATTACAAATAATGGAATATCTTCCGTCCCAACAAAAAGGTTGATACCCAAAACTCTATATGAACCCTAGAGATTTTTGACTCAAGCATATTTAAAGACTATTTTTATCATAGACCCAACAATAAAATGAAATATAAAACCCAAAATACTCAAATATTTAAAAGTGCTACTATCAACCCAAAGTGGGTTGTTTCCTTTCGAGCCCGCTACAAGTAAATTATTAGCGGTCTATCCTCCCGACGATGCCATGATTTGTCGGTATCAAATTGTCAAAACACAAGTTGATTAATAGAGTTTATTAACATTTTGGCAATGACTATCAGATTAGATTCAAATATATCTTATGTAATGCAACCTATGCATTCAAGGTTCAAGATCAACTACTAAATTCAACCCTTTTACATTATAAATTGATAAAGAACACATTACCTTTTATCAGTTATCTGGTCCCAATACTGGTTTGTTTCGTATGAAAGAGATGGATCTTTCTCAAGAAGCTTCCCCATTAAACCGTTTCTATAGTTCTCAAAGGAATCTTGGTCAAGGTCTTCCTGCACCGCCAATAGAGTTTTGTTGAATAAAAAGCATGATCTAGAAAATGCAGTCTTATTTTCAACGAGAGACATGAAAAATACTGGTGTATATATTTAAAGTGAAAACATATAAGCAGAAAAACACAAAAGGGGTTTCTGACAACATTTATTCATGCAGCACTCTTGTTAAAGAAAACATTAAAGTTGTTAGATATGAGCCTCCCTCAAACAATCACAACTTATTCAACTCCCTATCGTTTCTTCATCTTTTTCGGTCTGGTGTCCAGGTGGACCAAAGACAAACATCATTTAGTCTCCCATAAAATGATTATTTTGTTAAATTAGAAGACGAGCAGACAGATGCATGCTATTTGTATTAGCCTAAAGAAAGGCGATCCATCACATTCAACAGCAATCATCAACTTTGAATTCTAAGCATAACAACAGACAATTCTCCACACTAAACTATTCCCCAAAACTGCAACAAGCATTATTACCCACGTCTTAAAGCAAACGATTTTCATCACACTAAAGCAGTAGCCAAAATACTAACCTTTATTCAACCACAGCATAGGAAACATATAATAGTTTAGCTTATTATTGAATGATTCAATACTCACCAATGTTTTTTGTAATCCATTTATGAAGTCTTCAAGCCTTCCATGTAGGTAGATAGGACTATATTCAGAAGATTGAACCACAAAACAAAATCCTAATATCCTGTATGTTACCCGTAGGCTACATTCAACAACATAGCCAAGCTGTTCCTTCGTCCTGTATTGGACATTGTAAACAATCTAGAGTTAAATAGTGAACACATCACACTGAAATGCATGCGCATACCAGTATGTGCATGAAAAAAGCAAAATGCCAATTTGTGTGTTAACATATGACTACATGAGGGATGGGAAATTGCTTTAACAAATTTTCTTTCTTTCTTTCTTTCTTTCTTTCTTGCATTCATTCTCTCTTTTTTGTTTTTTTTTTTTTTTTTTTTTTGGTGCTTGAAAAGGAGTGAGTTACACTGCAGCTCCATTGCAGTGCAGCATTTGTTTAAGTCATGCATTCTATCCAAGCTATACATACCTGAGTTGATTAAAAAGTGGCTCTTCCACAATCTCATGAAAGAGGTCCATCAGGGCCTTCAATTTAGTGGGATTTTCTCCTTCTTGTTCAATTTGAAAGTACAGCTGTAACCAAGATAACCAAAACCCTAAGTAAATTGAGCTGTCAGTAACAAGTACTAAAGTCCACGCAAGTACTTTCTGTTACCTCTACCACAGAATTTGTCTCTAGCTTATTTTTCACTTTCTCGTCTCTGACAAGGTCAGCACTTGAAGGAAGACACATGACAAACTCCTTATGTCTCAACTCAGATGGAAGGGGCTGGACAGATAAATTACTTTTGAATATCTCTGATATATGAAGTGCTTCTTCTTCCAGTATATTTCCATGGCAGAGGCCCTCAATATACAACTGCATGAAGGCAGCTCAAAGTTAGTATAGAGTACTACTGGCTTATACAGAAAACTAACAAATTTTCTTCATAGAAATTACTGTAAATCATAAACCCATCTTGAGCTGAAATGCTCTTCAAGCCTAAATGGTCATTTCATTATTGACTTGTGATCTACATTAGCCAGTAGGCAGGTAGTCTATGAATTGCTTTACCCATTGATCTTCCAATGTCATGTTAACACTGTTTAAAAACTTCAACCAAGGCAACAGTCAATAGAAGTACTGGATTCCTAAAACTTTTTCAATTTCCATCTCTTTGGTCTTCCTTCATTAGATGGAAGAAAATATCAAATAGAGTGGGAGATGCAATCTTTCATGAGATATGGCCCACATATCAACTAATTAGCCATTACTTTTTCTTCTTCTTTGTTCTTTTTTTTTTTTTTTTTTTTTCCTGAAGCAGAAATAGCACAAAACTTGAAACTAATTCTACCTGGGAAAGAAGATCAGGAATGAAAGCCCTCAAATCTGCAAGACATAGGTCATTCAGCAAGCACAGCTTTTCCTCCACATCCCAGAAATACTTGCACAGAACTTGTAATCTTAAATAGCAAGAATGACTTAGAGGCTTCATGTTGGCATTTCTCAAGGTTCTCTCCAATTCTTCTTTAATATCCTGTTGAAAGAGACCATAAGTGCATGAAATTTTTTCTAAATAAAACTTTATAAAGGTTCGCTAAAGATGAACAGGCAAGTCGTGTTTGGAAGAGTGAATTAAATTTCAATCCTTGAACTACCATACTTGTAAGTATGACAAAGCAAAACTAATAATTGATAATATGATCAAATTTGAGACCAACTATTTATATTAAAACTGCTCCTCACCAGACACGAGATAGTGAATAAAAATAGATGCAATTGATATTAACTGAGAACCGAAAGGCATAATAGATTATCATCCTCTAAAACATCCTCTCGTATTTCAAACACCAAGACAAAGATGGGACTGCTGCTATTTCCTTTGCACCCATTCTTGTTATTTTCAAACAACATCAATATCACATACCTTGAAACGACACTCCTTTGGTGAAAATGACTTAGCTGCTGCCAAAACTTCAGATAAGAGAACTGAAAGCTTATCGTTGAAACCATAGAGCTTCAGCTCTAACTTATCTCCAGTGAGAGAAACAGAAGTCTCTAGTTTTGCAACACTCGCCTACAATTTAAAATATTTTTAGTTCTTGTAATTAATAAATAAATATTACAAGATTGACAGGTCATGCATAGAATATAAGAAACAGACCAAGAGAAAAAGAAAGAACCTGATAAATAATCTCATTGAGCTCATCTTTCAGAAGCCGTACAAATAATTCAGTCAACACAATATTCCTCACATTTCTGTCTCCTCCTTTAAGTGTAATTCGGAAATATGTGTTGGCTCGGGGTAATTTGAATGTATTATCAATCTTGTACCATAACTTTATATAATTTTCATCAAGTATGCATCGTGGAGTAGATGCATCTGCAACCTGGTATAATTCCTTGTCAGCCCATATGGAAAAGTCACGTGGAATAAAATCATTCTTGGCAGGTAGATGTAAAGAGGAAACAATTTCTGGGGGATCATTCCATAATTCCATCAGGGAAGATGGAACATCTTCCTCTAGATATTTCGACCCAAACCATGGCTCATGCTGGATATCTGAAATCCATGTAAAGGATGAGGATGAATCTTTCCATAAATTTTAGTCAGTATAAAGTGTTCTAATTCATTGTTTAGAAGAGGATAATAAATTGCAGAAACTGTAGGGAAGTGTTATGAATGCTAACCGTGAAACATGTGAACAGAATTGAAGCATATTATTCTTTGTTTCATCAAGAAAATGAACAAAGTTTTTCTACTAAATGACATCAGACAAGTAACCAGTAAATATTGGCCAGTAGTACTATTTCAATTTAAAAGTCAACCAACTGAACCATCATCTAAATGCTGGATGGTTAATTAATTTGGTATGTTAGTTATCTAAAGAAAATGCTGTGTTATCTTGTTGGTTGTATCAATGTTTCTCTATCTACACTCAGATTTTGAACAGAAAATCAAATGAAGAAGATTAATTCTTTCAGAAAAACCGTATATTTTTACATACAGGAACAGGCAGACTTCTATACAAAAATTCCTAGTAAAAATAAAAGTAAACTATTTTCTAACTTATCCCATGAATTATGAGATCTCTAGCTGTACATAGGAAACAAGATATTTGTTTCCTGAAAATAAATTGATTCACATAACTATATCAATAAAGTCTAATTTTTGTTTCTACATTGCTTGATTGTTGACAATTGAGCAAAAACTAACAGTACTAACATCAGACTTGGACGAACAACCAAGTGACACGGGTACAATCATCAATGAAAGAAACAAACCATCATGCTCCAGAGACACTAGGAATGGTAGAAGGACCCTGTATATCCGTGTGAATAAGGTGAAAAGGAACATAAATTTTTTTATTACTAACGGAGAAAGGCACTCGCTTATGTTTGGCGAGTTCTAACACATCACAATGAAATTCCTCAAGGCTTAAGTCCAAAAACAGGATGGAAAATAAGACCTTAACAATCCTAAAAGATGGCTGTCCTAATCGACGATGGTAAAAATGATTTTCTCTTTATTGGATAAACAGCTTTCTAATGTCAGACCCTTATTTTGGACCAGGTTCAGCTGTTGTGGCATCTTTTAAGGTAATAAAGGTTGTCCCATACTTTAGCACGTCCAATCGTCCTCAAAACCTTGTCTTAAAACACACGACAACCACTATAAAAAACCACATTGCATGATAGATCTTGGCTAAGCTTTTGTATATAAACAAGATTGGTGAATAATTTGGGGACATCAATGACAATTTTTAAGGGTCATGGTTGGGTTCATAGAACATCTCCTACTCTTGCAACTGTTGTTAGAGATCCATCGGTTGTGGCAATTTTCTGGCTGCTAGGACATGGGGTATAGGTTGAAAAGAATTTAGATTAGTGAGTCATATGATCGGTGGCTTCGGAGTCAATGAACCAAGAATTAGTAAATAGTGTGCCTGAAGTATTTAATCCAATAAAAATGAGAAACCTACCTGAATACATCAATGAACAAATACCTGAAGGCTTATCAAGATGATAATTTCCTCCTGATTAAGGCCACTCAGCTCTTCACTTTGTGGTGCAACAATGTGTACTTGTCCAACATGGTTTAGAGGACCTTTATTCCTTGCTTGGTCTCTCATTTTATTCCACTCTTGGCTTTAGGATTTCCATAAAGCTTTCGACATTTCTCTCCAGTATGTCGAGATTTTTCACAAAAAGTACCAACACAACTCGTCGCTGTTTTGTGACTTAGGTTGATTACTGCAGTTTTGGTATCACTAGCCACCATAGCCATGTTATCAACAGTTTGTGGTTCCAACATCATAGAACTCTGCTCTCTTCTCCTCGAATTAGTGCTACAAGTTCATTGAGGTTTGGAAGTTCCTATTTACCAAGGATCTAGACTCTCACTCAATCAAATTCTAGATTCAAACCACATAAAAAATGGTAAACCCTGTCTTTTTCAATAAATTCCTTTAAAATTGCTGCATCTGCTAAGCACTTGGCATTTATTTCCCTATAATGGTCGAGTTCCTGCTACAATGATTTTAATTGATCGGCATACTCAGTCACCCTTTCCCTTATCTTGACTTCGTACACTGGAGCCGCATCTTTAGACTTGGAGTAGGTTTCTCACATAGCATCCTAGACATCCTTTGTAGTGTTCAAGAGCATACAAGTATTGTTGAATTCTGGGATCATAGACTTAAACAACCTAGCCATTATCATGGAGTCTTCTTTTTTGGATCTTCCTTCTTTGGTCCTGTCCCAATGAGAAACTAATTTTTCCCTTTCCTTTCAATGTCGCTTGGACTAGTTGTGACCATTTGAGGTAGTTTTTTTCCATTTAGTCTATAAGCAGACTAAATGCCTTAAACTTCACCCGCATGTTGGACTCGGATTTCCTCCCCAGATTGTGCAGTCACTATTAGGTCTGATATATTACAACTTATAGCCTCCAGTGATTAAGACAGGCAATTAAATCTGGTCGAATGGAGGAAAAAAAAACTAGCAGAATCAAGAACAGTTCCCAAGAAGAAAGAGCTGCTCTCATACCATTTCAGATTTTGAAAAGAAAAATCAAATGAAGAAGAAAATTAATTCTATCAGAAAAACCGTATATTTTTACATACAAGAATGGACAGACTTTAATACAAAAATTCCTAGTAAAAATAATAGGAAACTATCCTCTATCTTATCCCATGAATCAAAATCCTATATCTTTTCCCATGAACTATGAGATCTCTATTTGTACAAAGGAAACAAGATATTTGTTTAATAAAAATAAATTGATTCACAAAACTATATCGATAAAGTCTAATCTTTGTTTCAAACATAAAAATAAAGAATGTTCTCCCAATATCTATGACCAGCATTTTTGCTTCATGGTAAAGCTGAAGTAAATGATTTTCTAAACTATGCTAAGCTTGTTTTATTCCAAATTTTATATGTTAGTACCTAAACTCAGTCAACTACTGGCATTTACACAAAACTCCATGTACTAACATCTAAGTAAGCAAGTAGGTTATACGTTAAATTACGATAGCAATTATTTTTTTACAAGAAATTATATTTAGCCACTTAGTTCAAGGTTTGAAAAGCAGCAGGCAACAATGCGGCAGGCCTCTGAATTTGCTGCATTGACTGGTGTCTACATTCGATAGGGAGAAGGAAAGAAGCCCAATTGTAACTTCTATTATAAGTAAAAGAGGTCTAGGTTTTGGGCTGTAGTTTTCAATAACAATAACAATTCTCTAGAATACTATACTGAACCATGTAGGTTTAAATAGGAAAATTGCAGCAAATAGTTGGCTAAATAACACGAATTGATTACCTGAATTATAGAATATTACTTAGCTATAAAACAGGAATTATAACTAACTAAATGCTAAGTAGCAGACTCTAATTTACAACTACATTATTATGAGCACCTAAATACTACATTTTCTACACTCCAACATACCCAATTTGTTTACAAGCAAGTCAAATGATGGTTTAGACAATCCCTTCGTTAGGATATCTGCAGCTTGGTCTTCAAATGCAACAAAGGGAATAAAAATTATTCCTACTTCCAAGTTTTCTTTCACAAAATGTCATATCTATCCGTATGTATTTTGTGCCGTCTTGCTAAACAAGATTTTGGGCAATGCCGATAGCTGCTTTATTGTCGCAGAAGAGTTTCATAGGCAACTCAAGTTCCAATTTCAGTTCTTTAAAAATCTTTTGATCCACAAAATCACAAATTCCATTTGCCATTGCTCGATGTTCAGTTTCAACACCATGTCACCAAATTCCCCTACAAAAGTACATCAACTTGTGGTGGACTTTCTCTGAGTAATTGACCCTGTCCAATTAGCATCAGTAAAGGCTTCAATTGTCTTACTTGCTCCCTCTCTAAACATTAAGCCTTTGCTAGGGCATCCTTTCAAGTATACGAGGATTCTATGGAGTTAGTGTTATTTATTGTAAATAAATGTTGAATGAAGGATAATAATAAAATATTGATTTTTTTACTTTTTCAAATATCGTAATTGAGTAAATTTAACGGACGAACGAAAAAAAAAGTGAGAATAAATTTGTTGAACGGAGGGAATATAAAATTCTATATAAAACAAATTAATAATAATTATGTTTTCTATTTTAATTTAATTTCCATAAATTTATATATTTTACACATGAAATAAATTATATATAAAAATTTATTATTTTAAATTTATAAAATAAAATTATAACTTAAAAGTAAAATATATTAAAATATTTTAATATTGAATTTCTCAAACCATGGCCTCAGTGATTGCTTTAGACCATATATTGATTTATGCTGCTAACATACTAAATGACTCCCCTTGAGCAACCAGTCCTGTAGGTTGCTCCACATAAATGGCCTCATACATGTCACTATAGTGAAAAGCATTTTTAATATCAAGCCGATTGGGAGATGTTGAAATATATGTTTAGATAGGTATTTTGATTAATATTATTTAGATTTGTTGGTATTATTATTTAATCATATCTAAATTAGGTTGTTAGATTATATATAATTTAGTTAGATTTAGTTTGTTAAGATAGATTTTCTAAGAACCTATATATAGAAAAGGAATAACATAACACAGTTTCTCCTATTTCTCTACATTGTATGTACCCGGAGGAACCACTTCCAAAATATATACCCATTCTAACCTCACATATTTATCACTTTTCCAATGCATCTAAGCTATAATGCCAACAACACCATATTCCTATTTTGGGATACACTTGCCACCAAATATCATCTTCAGAAACAATACATGTGAATCACCTTTGTCAGTCAATCCCATCAGAAAACGCCGGTCAACAATTTCATTGCTGCTGATTTTGGCTGCATGTGCATATGCGTTCAATGGTCAATTGTTAGAATTTTCCTATGACAACATACCGAGATGTTTTCAACTTATCCGTCAAGTTGCTTCCAATTTTTTTTATCTAAGTTTTTTATTTGGTATTCAATTACCTGTCCGGAGTTTCTGCCTAGCCCCCGTAGCGACAGAGGATCGCCGACGTCGCCACTACAGATGATTGCCGTCATTAAATATCCCATTTTTATGCCATCTTAGCAGCAGAGGATGCCGCTGCTGCCGCGACAAAGGATCGGGCAGTTAGAATTCCTAATTTGGCCAAAACTTTAATTAATTAAAGTTATCGCCATTGCGATAGAGGATCTCCGGTGTGTTCCCCCGACAGAGGGTTGATGCCAATACAAACTTTATTTGGCCCAAAAAACCTACTTTCTTAGGGTTTAAGCGTCCCACCAAGACAAAGAGTCGAGTTGAATGCTAATGTCCAGTTAAGAAGTCCGTTCATATTCAAAGTCAACCTCATGTTTCTTTTGCCAAACTCGAGTTGGCTTCTACATCAACAACTTGAGTTTGAAGCGAAATGTTGAATATATTTTTAGATAGATATTTTGATTAATATTATTTAGTTTTGTTTGTTATTATTTAATCATATAAGATTAGGTTGTTAGATTCATATCTATATCTTGGATAGATATGATTCGTATACATAATATCTATATCTATGATTTAGTTAGATTTAGTTTGTTAGGATAAATTTTCTAAATACCTATATATACATACATATACTTCCCTTCCTTTTTCTCTTTGGAATAATATAATAAAATTTCACCTATTTCTCTACAAGAAACCAACCATGCATGGCTGCCAAGGCAATGAAACACATGAATATAAGTCATTCTGGCCATCTGAGAAACAGGCAATGAAGTAAACTTTCATAATGGGAAGTGTTTTGGAAGTTAAAAATATTAGTTCGTTAAGTTGGTGTGATGATTATTAGGAGGCTGAAAATTGTTGGTTTCTTTTTTCCTGGATAAATAATCACTACACGGTCATGCTGCTGCCTAGGGCTTTCTTGCATAGGCCTAACTGAACTTAATATGAAATTGAGGAATTTACTTTCGATATTAATAAGAATGTTACAAGAGTGAGGTATACTAGTATGGATGCAAATTCTTGTTCTGTAGGAAGAATAATACCCTTTGCTATGGTGTATATATTTCATGAATACTAATAAAAAGTTGGAATAATCACTTCTTTGTATACCTACGTTCAAAACAACTGGATTTGTCTTCTTGCAAATATGTAGAGCAGCATACTAGCTCTATGTTACTGGAGTACAAGAGTCTGGCATACTTGCCTGTACCAACATGAGAAAATAGACTTAGAGATATTGGCATCCATCAAATCGAGAAAGAAATGCTCTAATATGGCATCATCAGCTAGCCAATTTTCCATCAGGGATGCATAGTAGGAGAATCTGAGTGAAGATGTGAAACCTTTCTTTGTCCTCAAAGAACAATTCAATGTTCTTAAACCATAATGAGCAATTGCTTCCATTTAGGCAGTGATTAGTAATCCTGAGATGAAAATTAATTTGGCGGCTGCCAGAGTAAAAGGCAAGAGGTAGAACACAGAGCAAAATAAAATTCGATCAAATTGGCGAATTTGAAAGTGGGTCTTGGTAAGGGGAGCAAAGCACAAAGCAATCTCACACAATTGAGAATAAAAAAAGGTGAATTGATGAACACTCCAAGGCAATCTCTCGTAAATTCCAGATTGATAGAATAATTAACCAATTGGAAAAGTAATGGCTGCAACACAAGAGATACACAAGCAGACAGCTCCACAGCATGCAGGGAGAGAGACTGCAGTGCTTGGTGGGGGTGATGGCATCACATAGCGAGGACAATGGCGCAGTGAGTGACTGCAAATAATGCAAGTTAGGGATGCAGAATCACACAGATGCGGGTTGAAAGGTAGACCCACTCTGATACAATGTTGATATAGAAGATATTGGAAGGAAAAGAAAAAAGATTGTATATTATGATGATTTTTCCATCATAGAGATTACAAGATATATATGTGTGTATATATATATAGAAGATATTGGAAGGAAAAGAAAAAAGATTGTATGTTATGATGATTTTTCCATCATAGAGATTACAGGATATATATATATATATTCATAGAAAATGGATTGACACAAATCACACAATTACAATAAATGTGAATTCACTCTAGGCACAAACCTAGCACACTAGTTTAGCACTAATCCTACGGATTAATCTTGCTACCTTTAATATTATCTAACAGTATTGTTCCAAGTTTTCTCTATCAGTGTTCATGCCAAACTATTGGGCTTCCAATACTTGGAGATTGTTGATAATTCCATAAGCGGTACGATATATCAAATTATCCTTTGGGAAATGAAGTTTAATCAGCTTATATACGACTAAAAAAAAAAGGAATCATAAGAGGACAAATATAGCAATAAAAAAGATTGGTCTCAAAAGGAAATAAGGAAAATTACCATTTGACTTCCCAAATGACTTGCTTAATACATCGATCCTCATTTTCTCAGGCAGGAAGAAACCCAGTAAATAGTTTATCTTCTCCCCATCCCAGATTTCATATGCATAGTCACCATAAATAACATGCTCAGGAGGATAAACATGCATATTCTCTGCAAGGATGAACATCATTCACTAATCCATGAAAACTTGAAATAACCCAAAGAAAATCATACATTCTAATGAATTCTGCAGACAGGTCATCTCATGCAGCTGATGTATTTTTAGAGGATAACAATTCAATATGATACCTTAAACAAAGAAAATTCACATCTGCTTCTCAAAAGAGAATCATTTTTGTTTTCTTCTCATTTTTTATGAGATGGCGCATGAAGACCATCTAGTGTGATAATCTCATGGATCTACTTCTTATACTTTAGATACACATGCAGCTTTCAGAATAAATAAAAATTATTGGTTATATTTACAAGCATTTCAACCATATAGGTAATATTCATAAACAAATCCAATATTCAATACCAAAAAGTTGAAAGAAACCACTGAAAACAAACACTTTACAATTTCAGAATCTTCTTATAGATATTTCTCTTAACATGTTTAAGCATTGAATACTACTTTCTACTATCAAACACAACAAAAAACTAGATTTAAAATCATTTAGAGATACAAAATTTTCTTAACATTTCTTTTTCTTTTTTCTATATTATACTTAGAATAACAGATCAGACATCATTGATATGAATCATAATAAAAAAAATTTCAAACATATTCATCTTCTGATACGGTTATAGTAGAGTAAAATCAGATTATAACCAAAAATAAATATGGTAATTTTTCTCTGAAAATATCATCAAATATTGTGTTAAAATATATAGATAAATAAACAAAAAGTTCAAGGGCATATTTGAGCCATTCAAGTAATTAGAACAAGGATTTGAATTAACATCAGGGGATTCGCCCTGGTGGCATGTGTTAAGAGTGATTTTATTCCACCAAAAGAAAAATTGTATAATTTAATAATTGCACTACCATTAACAAATTATATAGCCTCCACTTGAAATTCAAAATTGCATTACTATCCAAAAAAATTAGGTGGACTATTAAAAATTTAAAATGCCATCAATATCCAAATAATTAAAATTCAATCCAATTAAAATGATTAATTTACATTTTAAAAATATAAATATACAAAAATAATATTTTATTATTATTTTTTAATAAATTGAGTATTATAATTTATTTTACTTTTAACTTCAAATATTGTGATACTCTCGTACTAGTGAAATATTTTTCTAGATTCACCGTGATTAACTAACATCCGTAAGATGAATACCAGCAAGTTCTGAGGCATAATCATCTTGAGGTTGCTCTTCAGCAAATCTAAACTCCATTTTCGCAATATCTTGGAGTTCCTTAAATATCCATTCTTGCGGGGAATCTCGGCGCAACAGTTTGAGATATTGATAGACAAAGCCAATAATTTCAAAAATCTGGAACATAAACAGCATAATAAACTAATCATGGAGAACTCTTCAGACTGGAATAAAAGACATATGAGCTGAACTGCAGAAAGACTAATTTGGAGGGGAATAATAATATGACATCATAGGTAACAGGCTACACATACCAAGAAAAATACACAGATCCAAAGACCTATAGTCATAGATGCAAACAACTAGAATTGAGGCAACACATTAAACTGTTGATAGGAGTGGCTTTCAAACTAGAATTCAAAAATTGAATGACTGGCTGGAAAAAATATCCAAGCCTCCACCATGAATTAATTCCAGTAGTGAAAAGATAAAGGTGGATCATTACCCTCTCTATGCCAGAGTCTGTGAGGTGTATAGACATGCCAAAGATATATGCAATAGAAGAACGGTACATCCCATCATCAGAAACACCAGCAGATATGGAAGTTGCCCAGCCTCTAGATTTCAAGAAATAGTGCAGGCTTCCTCGGCCCTCTGAAACCAATTTAGTTTTCATCTCAAGTGTCAGAAATTAAAAACACCCCGGCACACAAGCCACAACCACAGTAAAAACACAAATTCACTTAATAAAATACATTAAGACGATAAACAACAACGAACAAGATAATTCTTTACTTTTAAAAAACAATGAAAGATTATAATATGTGTGTTCCATTGTGTTTTGGTAATAAAAAATTCGCTTGAAAATAGGTTTTGATGTGATGATTTTAAGAGAAAATAGGGGTATGCTCACTTTACAACTTTCTCCACTCTATTTTTACTACTCAATCTCTAAATTTCCCTTCAAAAACATAACACCCAACACTCAGGGTTTGTTTGTTTTGTATTTTGGTTTGAAGGGATATTTTTTTAATGTAAAGTATAGAAAATTGTTTAGGTAATATAAAAATAATAAATGTGTAAATATATTAATATTTTTTAGAAATGTGTTTATGTTTTTTAACTAAACAAACAAACCCTCATTTTCCAAACAAAACATCGCATCTAACCACTATTTTCACCTCAGAAATACCAAAACTCAAACACAAACACAAAAAGAACACCCCCTAGATATTTGATATGAGGTTTTTTTAAAAAAAAAAAAAATGTTTTAGATGTAATTCTTTAAATAAAAATAGATGTTTTATATGATGTTTTATAGGGATATAAAAAATTTACCGCACGAAAACACACAGAAACACATCATATGCCTTTCATCCAAATATAAAGTTGAATGCATAAATCAAAGTTAAAGCAACCGATGATATAAGCAGATTGAAGTTCGAACATAGTTTGTATAAAAAATATGCTTTTACTTTTACAAACCATCTATGGACCACGCATGCAAGTAGAAGGATCAAGAAGAGCCAAATATTATCTAATTGATTAGTAGAATAATAATGAAATTTAAATTAATTTTCCTTTCTTAAGATTGTTATTTGACTAGTACTTGTAAGAATTCATAATATAAATCAATTATTTTAGGTTTTTAGTATTAAGATGCAACACCAAAATTTCAATTCATAGTTATTTTAGAGGTGAATAGAGATTAAGTTGATTAAATAGACTATTCATATGTGCATATTCCTTTTCAAGAGCCCTTCTGAAAAAACTCTAGAATTGAGTGTACTTGCCCTAGAGTAATTTGAGGATTGGTGACCCCTAAGAAGTCTCCTAGGGTGCGTGTAGTGAGGACAGAAGTGCAGGAATGACTCGTATTGACCTATGAGGCCAGTCTAATCCCGACACGCTCGGCCTTGCGTGGCTTGCAAGCCGGGATGTCACAGTTGATATCAAAGCCAACTTACGGCAGCCTATAGTCGTTGACCTCACTGTTGAGGTGTCTGGTAGTTGAATGATCCTTGTGGTGCAACTTGGACGTTGTCTTCTAAAGTAAATAAGGATGTAATAACACCGGAGTTGGGCATGTGCTAGGCTATCCAAAAGTGAAAAGAGATTAAGTGGATTGAATGGACTGTTATGCCAACAATGTGCATTCCTTTTCGAGAGCCCTACTGATAGAAGTCTCCTAGGATGCGCATGAGAGAGGACAGGCACGCATTGGAAGGACTCGTGTTAACTTGTGAGGCCAGTCTAATCCCAACTCAGTTTTTTATGCCAATATTCTTTATCCACTTCTTTGTTAGTATTCCATCAGTTTCACTACCATTTGCTAGGTAAGTAAGCGCTACATCTGCAGAGATCTAAACCAATTTAGCAAGTTATGGGAATGGTTATTTCTGTGACAGGAAAAAAATGATTCTTCTCTTTTTCATTTAATCTCAATTATAAGTTTAAATATATATATGTACAAACAAATAAGAAAAATACCTGAAAAGCCCCTGAACTATTCTAAATACTAAGGTTGTGTACTTTTGTGGATTTTACCACAACTTTTTACTATGCAGATTCTTTTTTTCCTCCAAAAATATCAAATCAAACAATTACTTTTTTTTTTCAATATTATACTACAAATTTATTTTACATTCACAACATCACATCAACCTCTATTTATATCACATCAAACAACTATTCAAATTCAACTTTTTACTATTCAAATATCCAAACCCAAAAACTAAAATCCACAAACAAACACACCCTAAAAGACCCATATATACAATATGTTCAACATTCTCCCTCAATCTGGAGAATAAAAATCGTATTATCCAAGTTTGTCACACAAATTTTAATTCGAGGGCCTCTATTGGATTTGGTAAGTATGGATGCAAGTTGACCATTCGAAATGATGAGTGGCAATGCATCCAAATAACACCTTCTCTCAAATAAAATGACAATCAATTTCTATATGTTTAGTTCTCTCATGAAAAACTAGGTTAGATGCAATATGCAAGACAGTTTCATCTCTGAAACTTTCACTATCCTGAAGAAGTTGTCATATCCAAATGAGTTCACATCTCACCAATGTCATAGCTCCATATTCTGCCTCTCCACTTAACCGGCAACAACATTATGTTTCTTACTTTTCTAGGAAATGAGATTACCTCCCATAAATATGCAATACCCTAAAGTAGAACATTTATCATGCGGGGATCCTACCCAATTAGCATCTGAGAGGCCAACAATTTCAATATGGCCTTGAGTAGTATACAATAAGCCTCTGCTAGGAGATCCTTTAATGTACCTCATAATTCGAACTGCAGCATTCCAATGACCATCGCGGAAACTGAAGAAACTGACTCACAACACCAACAACAAAAGAGATATCAGGTCAAGTAGAAGTAAGTTAATTAAGCTTACCAACCAACCTACGATATCTGCCAGCATCAATTAATGGCTCTTCCTGTCTTGGAAGAAACTTCGAATTTTAATCATCGGAGAATCTATTGGTTTGTAGTCAGACAAATAAATCTCTTCAAGAATATCCAATGCATACTTCCATTATGAGAGGAAAATTTCATCACGTAATTTAGCAATTTCAATGTCAAGAAAGTACTTCAATGCCCCCATATTTTTTGTTTGAAAATGCTGAAATAGATGTTTTGGTTGAGTGAGCCCTTTTTATCATCCCCGGTTAGGACAATATCATCGACATACACAAAGAGGTACAATCACTTACCACTTGACGTGTGTTTATGAAACACAAAAAGGTCTAATGCACTTCAAACCATACCAAACTCTTGTATAACCTACTAAAAATCGACCAAACCAAGCACGAGAAGATTGCTTCAAAGCATATAATGTACGATGCAATTTGCAAACTAAACCAGACTCCCCTTGAGTAACAAAACCAGGAGGTTGCTACATATAGATTTCCTCTTGAAGTTCGCCATGGAGAAAAGTATTTTTAATATCGAGTTGATGAAGAGGCCAAGAGTGCGTGCCAGCTAAAGCAATAAAGAGGCGGATCAAGGACATCTTGGCAACATGAGAGAATGTCTCGGTAAAATCGTTACCAAAGACTTGTGTGAAGCCTTTAGCCGCTAAACGGGGCCTTAAAACAAGCAACTTGACCATCTATGCCAACCTTTAACCGTATAAACCCACCGACAAGTCACAAGGATCTTGCCTAGAGGCAAAGGCACTAAGTCGCAAATACCATTAGCCTATAAAAGTAATCATTTCATCCACCATTGCCTGTCACCAACCTGGATGAGAAACAGCCTTACGAAGGAATTTAGGTATAGAGACAGAGGATATATATGACACAAAAGTATAGTAAAAGGCAGACAAACAGTGAAAGCTAGAAAATTTTAAATAGGATGTGGATTGCGAGAACGGGTAGCTCGGCATAATGGTGTAGGATCCGGAAGTGTGGAAGCCACAGGAGAAGAAGACAATGTCGAGAGTCAGAACATGCTGATGGAGCTATAGGAGCATGATCGGGAGAAACATCGAAAGAAGACACTACAGGTCGAGGACAACTATAAACCTAAAGAGGTAGACGCGAAAGAATAAAATAAAAGAAAGGAATAAGTAGCACCTGGCTAACTGATGGTAGACATAGACAAATGGGAGAAAACAAGGGGTGGCCCCAGAGAAGGTAACATCGGTATAAAAGTAATACCGACGAATATCAGGAGAATAACATTTATAACCCTTATGAACCCTAGAATAACCAAGAAAATGCACGTTAATGAACAATGAGTTAACTTATCCCGACCCAAAGAGTGATAATGAACAAATGTAGTAACCCAAAGACATGATACAACTGATTCGATGAAATAACATTTGATGAGGCATTTTATTCTGTACAACAGAAGACGGTATGCGATTTATAAGCAAACACGGAACACTATGATGCACAAATAGAGGACAAGCAATTTCAATGAGATGTCGATTCTTGCGCTTAACAAGTCCATTTTTCCGAAGAGTGCAAGCATCAGAGGATTGATGTAAAATACCCAAATACCCAGAGATGACAGAAACTCAATAATAGCAATGGCATTATCAGTCCAAAGTATTTTAATAAACACACCAAACTGGTTTTGAATGTAAGAACAGAATGTCTCAAAAACACAAAGTAGCTCGGAACTAGTTTTCATTAGATAAAGCCAAGTGCCTCGTGAAAAATCAACAACAAAAGTGACAAAATATTCAACCTAAATATAAAAGTAGTTCGACACAGACCCCATATATCAGAGTGGACTAAAGAGAATGGCAATCAACCCGATTATTAACCTCTCGGGATGACAAAACACGAGTTTGTTTTCCCAACTGACAAGACACAAGACAAAGAAGATAACTTAGAGAGGCTTTGAATAAGCCGACGCAATTTATAAAAGACTTCGATGACGTAGGGGAACTGACAAGAACAATATTTGAAGTCAAATAAGTCCCAAATCATAGCAAGACAACAACAATTGATCCTAAATTATAGCAACAACATTCTAATCATTTGAATCAAGAGGCAGTGACGAGATGGGAGGCTGGACTATGCTTGGGATTTTGATGGCGAGGGAGAGAAAACCTAGGGAGAAAGAGAATGGGTTCCTATTAAGTCACACCGGCGCTGGCCAGGGAAGAAAGGATGCACTTTGGCCGGCGGAAGGCTGGAACGGCGAGGGTGACCTAGCAGCAGAGAAAATAGCACCCAACATAAAAGACGGCCTTGACCGGTGAGATGGGAGAAGAACAACGGTGGCGTTGGGCGAAGCCGCAGCAAACAGGTGACAGGATTAGGGCGACAGCTCCGATACCATGTGAACGAAAAATATGATTCTCTCATTTAATCTCAATTGTAATTTTACAATATATGTAACACAAATAAATAGGTAAAATATCTAAAAAGCCCCTAAATTATTCTAAGGGCCCGTTTGGATTAGCTTAAAAAATAAACATAAGCCAAAAGCAAAAGCAAAAGCAGAAGCAGTTCGATTTTGTAAATTTTATGGAAAAAATTATTAATGACTTATTCTATAGCATAACTATGCTTAAGGAATAGAGTACATATACATGTCAAACTTAGTTCATCATAATTCCAAGTATATGTTCCTATGTCTAGAAAATGGCAAAGAGATATGGAAGAGTATAATTATTTTTATTATTGTAAAGAAAAACGAATGTTGTTGAGTATATCTCATATTGGAAAAATGTTGGGAACTCCTCTTGCTTATAAGGATGAAGGAAACTCCACTTATTACCAATTGGTTTTAAGTTGGAGTCCCAAATCCCTTCTTAACATGGTATCAGAGTCATGGTGCCCGTATTAGGTGTTGATCCCGATTAGGATTTCGAGATAACATATCTCAAGTGGGGTTGTTGAGTATATTCCACATTGGAAAAATGTTGGGAACTCTCTCTTGATTATAACGGTGGAGCAACTTATCACCAATTAATTTTAAGTTGGAGTTCTGGATCCCAAACAAATATATTTACATATATCATCAAAGATTAAATTATCACTATAGTCAAGAACGCCCAAAGTATATATATAGACGAACCTTCATCTACAGCACACTAATTACATATTTTTGTTTAGTTTAATTTTGGAAATATTTTGGCGTTTTGGGTTTTTTGGCGACTACTAATTTGATGTTTTAAATAGAAATAGATGTTGATTGTGATATTTTGAATAGAGAATAGTTTTGTTTAATGTAATAGTTTATATGGTAAGTCTTGGCTGTGATGGTTTTAAATGGTGAAATTTTGATAATTAGTTCAAAGATATAATTAAAAACAAAAGTAAATAAAGCCTTAATAATTGTATAGAATGCTCTAACAAATAATAAACAAATCTTACCATGCCCAAGGAGATGTGCAAGGTAATCTTCAGCTTTTCTCAAATAATCTTTTTGAAGTGAAGGCAATGTCCAGGACAAATCAAGAGTATGAATGTCTTTAACTGCTTCTAACCTGTAAAGTTTGCCAGATTTCCAAATTGGAATATCTGATCTGATATCTTGCTTAGCCAAAGGGCCTTTCTTGACATCGCTAAATAAATCAAGGACCCAACTTTCAAGGATTTCAAGATTCTCTGCAGAAATTAAAACAGTTAAAATGAAATGATAGAAAGCAGCGGCCACTAATTTCTTTATCTGTTTACAAGGTTATCAAATTAATTCATTTAAACATTTTCTAAACAATCCATATATTTCACATAGTTGATGTCAGTAGGAAACTATTTGCAGTGTATAAGTATATTAAAGATTGTGTATCATAGTTCAAGTTTATAACATACAAAAGAAGCAAAAGCAAGGAAAGGTTCCCTTGAGTGCCCAAGTTTTCTGAGTTAACTAGAACTTATACAATTTCAAGCAAGCAGTCACAAAATGAGAAACTATTGCAGTTCTTTTTAAGAGAGAGGGAGAGAGTGCGCACTGAGAAATAACATTTCAGCAAACTTCCCACAACTTAAAAATGTAAGTACAAAACCATGCTAGAAATTAACCGGAAAAAAAAATAGTAATTACTTTCAAAATGAGCTTCCTAGAAATATTAAAATAAAAAGGGAAAACTATTTTTTTAGTCCGTACGTGACCCCCTATTAGAACTATAACTAAACCTTATATTGGATTAGTCCTACAATTAAAAACATTACGCAGAAATGGTCCTCAAGCGCCGGAGTTGTTGACATGGCAGCGTCATGGCACGCCGGATATTGTGTGGATGAAGCGTTGAAAACATTTGAGAATCATTTTAGAACCATAATTAGACTCTGTTTGGATTAGTCTCATAACTTAAAAGCTTTGATAGAAATTATCCTCAAACGTTGTCCACGTGTCATCCATATAATCCCCGGCGTGCCACACTAAAATGATGAAGGGTCACGTACAAAACTAAAAAAATAATTTTCACAAATAAAAAATAGCTTCAATGCCAATCCTAATTATATTCGAACAAATTAAAAAACTTACCACCGCCAATGACAACTAACTTCATTGATCCACCATAATAATTGTCATGGTATAATTTAAGAATACAATCCCTCAAATTGATTCCACTTTCCATTGCATCCGACAAGCTCTTCTTATTCCCTAGAAAAATGAACTAGAAATATAGCTATCATGTCAAAAACACAAGGGAAAATGATAGCTACACATACCCCAAAAGAACCTGTTCAAAGGATGACCAAAGGCAGCAGTATGGCACTGCAGTTGTTGTAGGCGACATAAATCATTTTGCAAAACCTGATTAAATTCTATAACAAATCAAAGATCGAAGAAATGTTAATTATCCTCAAGAAGAACAATAATTTTCATTACTTAGTCATAACCATCAAACAACACAATGTGGTAAATATGGAGCAACCTGAATCCACAGCTAATATCTCTCGTTCCATTGCTTTGGCTTTTATCAAAGGAGAACTGAAGAATTGAGCAAATCTGAAAAAGCAAGAATAATCAGCACCATCACCAGATGTCCAGATCTCTTAATTGACCAACCAGACACGAGAGGAAAAATAAGCACTTCTACACAATCACAACACCTAAACATTATTTCCTATTCTAATGGACGGTACTCCGTCCTTCAATTATGAAAATCTACAAAAAATCACCATTGAGCTAACAAGATTCATCACAAACACGCAGCAAATTCTCTAGAACACCTAGCATTCATTACTATGGAGCACTTAGAACCCAAAAGTAAATGACTGAGCTCCTCAGAAATTTACGTATCTAACATTGTTCATGGAGAACAAAAGAAGGAGAACAATCTTTGTTGAATGTACAATAACATTTCTGACTTTTGTATATTCCAAACACTATCATACAGACCTATGCACATGCAATAAAAGATATTCTAACTATGAAAATAAAATAAAGATCTAAGTCTAACCAAATTTACTCATGATGAATTTAGGCATCTATGTTCCAGCATACAATACATATATATATGCATACATTCAAAAAATATTTAAGTTTTCTTGAAATGTAATTATGCAAAGAAGATGCAACCATCTGCATAACATCAGTAATTCATCTCATTCACTATATAAAAGAATGTCATTATTCAATGCTACAAATAAATATAATTTATACGTAATGAGAAGGATCCTCCATTTACCTCGTCAAAGCACCTTTAAGAAACTCCCTTTTTACCTCAAAGTGGTAGCAGGTATGCTCAGTTTCTGTATAAGCATTTGATGAACCTCCGTGCTTAGATAAGTAACTATCATACTGGAGAGAAGAAAAATTAGTCCAGGATGCCCAATATAATTCTTAAGAGAGAGAGAGAGAGAGAGTTGATCACTGTCAACCTTGTCAGAAAGGCCCTTAATAAAGAGCAAGATTAATTAGGAAATGGTTGTTAATGGTCTTTCATGAGGGATGTTTTATGCTTGATATGAAGTTATGAACACAAAACTATTATGCTACAATTGCTTTACACTCGAAAAAAAAAAAAAAAAAAAAAAATACATAGGAAAACCTTGCACAATCTTTTCCAAATGGTCAATATTACATTGTAAAGGTGGGTTTATCAAAGTTTCTTAACAAAGAAGGTCAACTAATATAGCATATCAGTCAGTTCTAATAACCCATGTAATTTCTTTTTTAGTTTCTATCCAATCTTCACAAAATCCTCTCTAGAATTTCTTCAATCTGTCAGCAGCAAGAAAGCTTAACAAAACTACCATATGCCAAGTGCAAGAAACACCCTGCTCAGGGGCATCATTTCAAAAGCAATGATAATGGAAAGGCTAGTGAAATGTACAATTTTGATAGGTGATGGAGGTAAAGTAACAACGTAAGGGGGAAATTTCCCTGCTCCATGGATACATGGCCACAGGCCAAGTGTGATGGGTAGCTGTGGTGGTTGGAATTGTGGAGGCAGTAGTACTAGTCAATTGATGCCGTTTAAGGAAAGCATATTTTTGTATTCTTTCAATTTTAAAAGAAATTGAAATGAGATGTCATATAAGGAAACTTAGACCCAACAGTTGAGCTCAGAAGTAATTGATCTGGAAAATGGTCTCTCTCTATGCATTCAAAAGTTCATACAAACAACAAACCGTGCAACTAACAATAGATCATGCCTATAAAGTCACAAAAAGGGAAAGCAAATAAGTGGCAAACCTCATTTTCATCAGGGAAATCAGTACTGCCCATGAAAAGCATGTGCTCTGCAATAAGAATATCAATATAAGTTATTCTCTACTTATACATAGACACCATATTTCATTATCCTCAAATATTTACAACTTTTTACATCAAAGAGATCTTAATCATTAATTCAAGTAATTAGATTAGGAAAGTGAACAAAAAAGCCTATTATCTATCTTACGCGTGAATACAGGTTGCATATTTCAATCTTTGCGTTGTATAATGCAAGAACAATACCACATTTCATGAAGAAAAAAAACTATCTAATCCCACTAAACTGCACTGGATGCATCGGTGCACTAGATTGCTCCCAATAACTCAATTGAGCTATCTACTGTCAGGGATGGAAGCAGATATGCTGGTCAAACGACAAAAGCATGCCAATGACCTTTACAAAATAGGACAGTCACAGTAAACAATCAGTTTATTTCTTATATCAGTACACAATCAATTACTAAACCATTTGACCAAAACCATCCCCAGGGATCCATACTCTGTTACCAGTCAACTACGTTTCTGGGACTACAGTTCACTAAATACTTTTAGCTAAAATTTCTAATTCTCGAGGGACATCCCTCTGCCTTTGATAGGGACAAAACACTTGAGTGAAAAAACTTATTTCTCAGTATTTTCAGTTACCTTCATATGCCGCCAAATTATCCTACAATAGAGCAAGATCTAATATTCTTCCAGCGAAATATTTTTATCCCATATATCCATATCAAGGATAATGAAGGGCATCCACTCAATTGCACGAAATTTTTAGAAACTCAAAAGAAAATTAAGGAACCTAGGAAGTGAGCTAGTCCCTGTGCTTCATAAGGATCCGCAAAACTTCCCATGCCCACACACATTGCAGCGGCAGCCTGAAAAGCAACAAGCAAATTCCAGAAGAAGCCGATCAAAGTATGTATAGTTTCCAATATGAAGCATCCAGAAAAATCTGACCTTTTTCTCCGCTGCTCCTTTTGGTTCTTTTTCTTCTTCCTCCTCATCATCTTCCTCGTCACCGCTGTCTTCTTCGTCCTCCTCTTCTCCATCCTCCTCCTCCTCATCATCATCATCCTCATCATCATCTTCATCTTCACTCTTCCCATCCATTCGGCCTCCGAACGGCTCGTCGGAGTAAATCTCGGGATCGTGAACCAACAAAGCGCAGATGCCATTGGTGAGCTGTATATATCTGTAGAGACGGCGGTCTGTCGGGGACTTGATAACGAGGTCGTCAGAGGAGAGAACGCAGCCGCCGACCGCCATTGTTAGCAACAGGGAGCAGGGAGGCGCAGAATAGGTGATTTTAATTTAGGGAAAGAGTGGGGATTGGCGAAAGCAAAATTCCTAAACCCTCTCACACACAAAAAGTGATAATAACTTAATATAAACTGTATTTAGATAATAGAGATTAATTATCTAATGAACAAAAAAAATTAAATATGTGTTCAAATTTTTTTAACGAAATAAAATATATATAATATAAATATTATTTTTTAAAAAATAATATTTTATATAATACAAATAAATAAATAATATTTATTTATCATTATTATAAATTAATTTTATAAAAAAATAGAAAATTTTAAAGACAAATTTAAAAATTTTGTTAATTAAAGTTGAAAATTTAATTAAATTAATTTATATTTTCTAAATGTGTTTAAAATTGATAAATTTATAAAAAATAAAAATGGATCGAAGAACAAAGGAGTACATAAATATGCTAATACTTTTGAATGATTTACTGTTCATTAAAATTGTATCAGTATTTTCATTAAAGATGTATATACGTATCATTTTTATAAATATTTTTATTTATCATCTTTAACAAAAATAACAAAATGTCAATTTAAAATAAATGATAAAACATAATATAAATAGATTTGGACTGTTTCAAATTATATATTTTTTCTTTCCCTTTGTTATGTGGATAACATTGATATTAATAATTGTCCAGTATCTTTGTGGATGTGATTACGCGTACTAGAATATGATAGGTTAGGATTATATGTTTGAACTATGACATTTTGGACACAAACTTTTGAATTTTAACTAGACATTCCAAAATTGTGAATGAGTGCAAGAAATACAAGTAGCACAATAGGAAAAAAAAAGTAAAGGGCACAAATTGAAATAAAAATTGATTGGTGTGTTTGTTTATTGTTTTAATTTGAAATATATTTTATACGAACTATGTGCAATAATGTTGATAATATAAAAATAATATTTTATATTAAATATTATTTTTTGAGAGAATATAATATATATATATTATATATATTGGGATGATAACAATAGGTGCAGGGGCTTTGGGTGGAAGAAGCGGGGAGAGTATGGTCGACTAAAGGGCAGTCGTAGCGCATGAGAGAGAGAAAGAAAAGGATCGAAGTCGATCATCTTTTAAAATACAGCATCGGTCATTTGGTCTAAGACACTGTATCAGTATGTTGATATCCATCATGCAATCATCGATATGGTCTTCTAAACATTGCATCTGTCATCTCAATATCTTTCGAGGCCATTTGAGATTTTGTCATTCTTTTTTATTCCTATTTGATTGTTACGTGGCATTATTGTGGCAAAAAAAGAAAAAAAAAATCTTTTTAATTTTTTGTGTAGAACAACCTATAAAAGAAAAATAATAAATAAAAAATTATTTTTTATTTTTTATTTTTTGACAAATATTCTCTTTTATCATATAATTTGTTCATTTTTCTATTTCGATCCATCTCATATAATTTGTTCTTTCTTTTTTTAAGAAAATAATTATACACTTTAATCATATTTTAAAATTCATATTTTATAAGTATTTTTATTTTAATTAAATAATTTAGTTATTTAATCTTAATATATAATTATTTTTATTATATTATAATTATTTTTACCGATATACTTTTTAATTATTACTAATTACATAATCCCTAAACTCAATGTCCATGGACAAATTAACTGACACAAAGGAAATATTTTTTTAAATTAGAATTTTTTTTAGCTTTTTACTTTTTTATATCATAAAAAATTATACCTTACAAAGTAATATACATATTGACATACTTTTTACAGTTAATTTAATTTTTTAAATTGAATTAGATGGATATAAAGAAATAGATATTCTCCGATTATCTTTCATCTAACTCAACCAAACTTTGTCTCTTTTCTTGAATAAAAGTGAATTGATCTTCCAATCTAAGCTTATCGTAACATGAACAATGAAACCATTCGAAAGAGCATAAATTAACTAATTAATCAAGAAGGAAAAATCAGCCGTAAACAATGAAATATTTTTTCTTTATGATGCTGGGATACAAATAAAATTCGAAGTGCCAAAGATTGATATTTAACTAGTCAATTTTTACTAATGATTTTGTTCACTCCTATGCTCCATGAAAGAAAATATATATATATATATATTTTAATATCACAACCTATTTAATTCGCATTGAACTTTAAAAAATATAAATGTACGGCCAGCTCAAATTCCACATCCATTTGAATATATATTTAGATTTTTAAGCATTGACGGAATAGACAACATTAGACAATAAAAGTTTTAGAAAGAAAATTAAATGACTTAAGTGGATCAATGAATTGAAGAATATGCAATAATATCATATTTTTTAAGATGCTAAGAAACTCATAACACCACAAAAAAAAAATAAATAAATAAATAAATAATAAAAAAATCATAGAAACCAATGCAAGAAAATACACCAAATGTTAAATGTATATCTAAATCCATTTTCATGCACAAACACACAATTAATTGTACAATCAACCTAATCATCCAGATGTGAGAGAGCTTCCCTCTGTCAAGTTTTATACTTACCCTCTCCCATTTAGCTAATTCACTTTTAATTTTGTCCCAAAATACTATATGATAAGTGCAGACATGAAGATGAGTGCAGACGACATAATTGCATATCATAGATAATTCATTATATAATTTTTATCTTCAAGTTCACAATCTAGAATTCATTAAAATTACAACATTTTAAAGTATGTTATAATCTAACAGTCTGGACCACATTATTGAAATAATGCAATCAAGTATGAACTGTTATAATATTTCGAAAAAAGTAAATGTATATATACACACACATAGTGTCCAGCCTTATCCTAATTCTTGAGTGCAATCAACAACTTTCAGCCCATAATACTTAAAATATAAACATATTTGGGTAGTAGGATCTTGGAGAAAAAAGTAGGGCTACTCGGTAAGTGGTCCCTTGTTCAATGCCTAAAAAATCGATTAAAAAGTTGATGATAGATGAATTTGTTGCACATTATTAATCCACTGTGAGTTGTCTTAAAAATATGCATAATATCTTATAGAATATTCTATTATTATAAAGTCGACTATGTGAATGTTATATTGAATTTCCACTATATTCAACAGAAAGCTCATAAATCACTTGCTAGAGCAACCTAATCTATTTTGGGTAAGTATTGTAATAGATCTATTAGATGCCAATAGTTGCAACTCCTCACGCAGTTAACCTATAGGTTCAAACATTTGATAATATTTTGTAAATACAACTTTAATATGTGGTCAAAACTCAAAAAAGACATTAGGTGGAAGGTCGATGAAAATACAGCAAGTCGAATACAAATCTTACTTATATACTATATGATGATACATTTAAATGGAACAAGCATTTAAGCACAAAATTAACATTAATAAAACATTTTTCTTCAAAATCTTTTCAATAAGATCCCATATATACAATAGAAATATAATTTATTTTACAATATTTTATTGCTCCTACTAAAATTAGAAAAATATCTATTTGATATAATAATATAATTTTATATATTCCAAAACAGTGCATTACACTATCACTTGACATTTTTGCTAGAATTATCCGGCATGATCATAAATGCATAAATACATATGATGTTCATGGTTCTGGATAGAAAAATAATTTAAAGACAATAAGGCCACTAGTCAAAGCGTTTGATATTCTCCAACATAATATTGATGAAGGGCTAAAATCGAATCTCCAAATCAAGAATCATCTTAACTTGTAAAATAAATTAAAACAAATATACGATTACTTGAGGGAGGTCACTACTGGTGATAGCATGTCCATGATGAGGGTTTTCAAGGGGATAGATCACGATTCCAGCGAGAGATCGATGATCAAACGTCAAACACGGAGATCACCGGCGGCGGTGCTGGTTACAAACCGCAATGGCGGTTACCTGATCAACCAGCAATATGGTGGTGGTTTCTGGAAACGGTGTTTTGGCATCAGTGACGAAAAGATATCGAAGTTTTGGCATCAGGTTCTCCATATATGATTCCGGTGATCTATGGTATTCACGTCGATCAACAGCCGCAGGTTGAGGTGTTTACCGGTGAAGAAGACGAAGGCTCTGAGATTTTCAGGGGAAGCGAATATGATGGTGATGGTCCGGAGCCATGGTCTGCTGCCTCTTTTCTCACCATGATATCCAGAAGGCTGCAGACTTTATACTGCAAAAATGGGCCTTGAAATTCTCGATAGGCCGGATTTTCGTAAGTTTAATCAACTTGGACTTTATTTTCTCATCAGGAGTTGTTTCATTGTGTGAGTTTTTCCTCCAATTCTGAATTCAACTTCTCACTTGTGTCTTTGTCAAATTTGGCCTCTTCTCTTCAAAATATGGACCTTTTTTTCCAAAGTTTTGCAAAGTCTTGGACTTTTTTTTTTTTTCTTGGATTATGCATTTATCTCAAGCGAAATTCATCATTTTAACTGTTAGTTCTCGGAGATTCTTTCAAAATTTTGTGGATTTCTACATATAACAATAATATAATAATCAAAGTAATTAATACTAATATTAACGTTGTATATATTATACAAAATTATTTAATATAACCTACCATATTATTGAATTTAATATTAAAAACTGATTTATATAATATCATATATTATCGTTATAAAATAAGATATATATATATATATATGAAAAATTCTCAACAGAGCATTGAATTAGTGAGAGTAGAATTAAAAAGAACTGAAAAAATTAAAACTCTACATAACAATTCTTTATGGGGAAAAAAAGAGTAATATTTATAGTTGGAGGGAGCAGTCGGTAATTCTCTTCAAATAATTCCCACCACGCGGAACGGCTTTCCTGAAACTGAAATTGGCTGCTAATACCCGCCTTTGCATACATAAACTGCAACAATCCATTCTGCAACTCCTCCGTCTCGTTCGTGTGTTCTAACTTCTAATCGATCAATCGCTGCAGAAAATCTTCGATATTTTTCACCGTTCTGCATCAATGGCGTCGGCGTCGACGTCGTCTCATGGAGAATTGGCCGGAGGCCTTCCGAACCAGTGTGTACAGACGATCTGGAGTGCAGTTCGATCTAATCTGGAGCTCGACAACGCGTTGAATAAATCTGAAGAACTTGTTTCGAAATATCCCCGCTCTCCCCACGCTCTCGTGAGTAATAATGTTGACAATTAAGATTTCTTATTAATTTGATGCACACGTACGCCGTGTTGTTAATTGGAAAGATGATTGAAGTAGTTTGCGGAAGTTGTTGCAGGCGCTGAAGGCTATGGTACTGGAGAAAATAGGGCGGAAAGAAGAAGCGTTGATTTTATGTGCTCATGCAGGGGAGTTGCTCTTCGTTGACGTTAATGCCAACCTCGCCGACGGTCACGCCATCAGGATTTTATACCAAGTTCTACGGAAACTTGGTTATCGTATGTCCGCGCAACTTTTTGGTGCTTAATTTGTCGGAGCATTCTCCTGTACTTATAACATGTTAATTTCTTTGAAAAATGTTCAGCGGAGCTCGGGAGATACTTATACGAGAAGGCTTGTACGGTGATCACAAACAATATGGAGTTGATGGCTGGCCTATATCATTGTCATGTGATGGATCATAACTTGGTGAAGCAGCAACAGGTAGGTTTGATGCATTCATGGTACTGTTATCAAACGTCATTAATTAGAGTGTTTGATTTTTGTTTGTTTGTTTGGTGTTTATAAATATATATAGTTGTGAATGATATTGTGGGGAATACAAGTGAAAGTGAAATAGGTCATGTGAGAAACATGCTTAGCTTGTAAATCTGTTAAACAATAGAACACATTAGTCAATGAGAATAGAAGAGACCAGTGGTTGATGAGAGGAGGAGAATTAGGAGATAGAGAGACTAACAGGATGAGATCCCCAACATAACGATGTTGGGAATTTAGTGCTGAGGCTAATGGGTGTGTAAGTTGAATGTATTATTTTGCTGTTTGATTTTATTATTATTATTATATATATATATATATATATTGAAAAAAAAAATATTCCTATTTCTATAGAAATTTGATTGCATAATAAAGAAATTAAAATAATTTTTTTTTTTTTTTAAAAAAAAGTATAACCTTAGAGTGTGTTAGTTTTTTTTTTTTTTTTTTTTAAAAGTATTAACTTACAAAATAATTTGAATTTAAAAATATTTAAATTAAAAAATATCCTTTTTGTTCTACTATTTATTTTTAAGTAATTTTATATAAGGATATTGATATAAATAAATACATATTTGAAGATATTGATATTATACAATAAAATTAATAGTTACTAAAAATAATAAATAATAGCAATTCAAAAATAGACAAATGAACACTTTAAATCAAATATAATATTAGATAACGAAATAAGTAAATCGATTAATAGAAATAAGTGTAAATTAAATTATTTTTGTAATATATAATATAGTCAAATTTATTTAAGAAACTATATATTTGTGTTTGAATAGACAAATAATAAAATATATATTTTGAATGAATATGTTTGTTTAGTAAAATTATTTGAAGATATATATATATATATATTTTAATTTGAAGTATAGAGAATTGTGTAAATAATATAAAATAATAAATATGTATAATATATTAATTTTTTTGAAAAAATATATTTTTGACGAATTGTGAAATAATAATATATTGATAAAATGGCTCATTAACAACAACCAATTGGGAGAGAAAGTAGAGGGATGGTTGAGTTCTATAGAATTCGACTATGTATTGGTCTAAAAAAACTTTTAACCATTTAACTTGAATAAAAAACTTTAACCATTCAACTTGAATTAACATGAAATGGAGCATATGTAAATTAATGTGCATATTTTTTACTTAACCTTTTAGATAAAATACTTTATTGTTGGGGCCATGTTTGATTGATACTACATTACTATGTTGACTTTTTATTTTTATTATTTTAAAATAAAATAACATTTTTTCCGTTCATTAATAATTTTTTATTTATTTTTGGCAAGTGAATTTAGGTGTATTAGTATTTTATTAAAATGTAGTATAAATAATGTATGTAAAGATAATTTTTTCTTTTTTTTTTTTAATTGAAATGTAACACAAATGATATATATAAAGATAATTTTGGTAAAAATAATTATGTTATGATAAAATATGTGTATTTTTGTATTTATTTGGAATATAAATTACTATAAAAATGATAAGATTGGAAACACTAAATAGAAAAATGATAAGATTTTGAGGGGAGGGGGAGATTAATTAGAATTTAGATATAAATTGGATTTATTCAAATACTATTTTCTATAATTATTATTAAAAAATATAATATACACACATTGAAAATATATATAATATATTTTATCAATTCATAAAAAAAATAATAATAATTCAAAATATTATTTTTTATATTACCGATAAAAATTTTCCTACTTAACATAAAAAATATATTTTAAAAAAAATAAAAATTGAACAAACTCATTTTAAACCCCTTAATGAAATGTGTGTTTGTTTGGGGGTTTGGATTTTTAATTGAGATTTGAATAGAAAAAAATTTGAATTTGAATTGTTATATGATGTGATATAAATATGTGTTGATTAGATATTCTAAATGTAAAATTAATTTTTAGTATAATAAAAAAAATAGATATTTAATTTTATATTTTTAAGAAAAAATTTTTAATGAAAAATAAAAATTGGTTGAAATTTTGAAACGAACACACCTTGCATTATTTTAAAGGAATTTTATATTGTATAAAAAAAAAATAGTAGTATTATATTATGATTGAATTTTTGTAAGATGAAAAAGTCATATAGTAAGTTTAAGGGATATAAATGTGAGATAATATTTCAATAAATAAATAAATAAAGAAAAAAAAAAAAGAAGGTGTAACAGAGGAAGGGAGTATTGAATTAAAAGGGCGTGTTTCTTTTCCTTATCTCACTTGTATTTGAAGATTTTATTTTTATTTTTATTTATTTTTTATTAAAATAATATTGATACTCTCCGTCTTAGTTAATTTATCCATTTTAACTAGGACATCAAGTTTTAGGTATTATGTAATTTTTAAGTAATTATAAAGTGTATTAGTAAAAACAGTTATGATATAATAAAAATAATTATAAATTAAAATTAAAATGATTAAATAGTTTAATTAAAGTAAAAAATTATAAAATTTAAAATATAATTAAAATGTATAATTATATTTTAATGATCATTTTATGTGGGATGGTAAATAGGACTGAGAGAGTATAATTTTTACAAAAGTATTATACTCTCTTTGTCCCAAAAAAAAGATGTTTTAGTGGGAGTGGACACGATAATTAAAGAATAATAATATTTAATTGAAAGTAAATATAAAGTAGAATATAAAAAACTAAAATACTTTATTTTTTAAATGATTTTAAAAAGTATGCTAGAGTAATAATCATGTTAGTTTGGAAAAGTAAGGAAACAAAGCAAGGGACAAACGAAAATGAAAAAATAAAACAACTCTATTGGGACGGAGAGAATATATCTATTTATATTTTTTTTGGTACAATCTATGGAAATTTTGGTACAATCTATGGAAATTGTGTCTTATTTTTCCATTAATCCTTGGTTTACCGAAAGTTTTATGCAACAATCAAACATCACTCAACAGTAACGAAAAAAAAAACATCACAACATAAACCGATAGTCTTGTGGTTGCAATTGTTATCTTGCCTGCGTAGTTAAGTTTCCATTTCTGTTGTCCAGATGGCTCTTAAAATGTACAAGCTTACTGGTGAAGAAAGATTCTTGCTCTGGGCCGTTTGCGCTGTGTATTTGCAGGTATGTCTTGGGAGGTCCATATTTTGTTTTTTCCTAACCCCCTGCCTAATACCCGCACAATTCTTTTCCTATTTTATCGTATGCGATATGGATGTTCTGCATTGCTTCCCGCCATTGATAATTGTTTAAGAATCGTCTTCAGTAGCACGAGTTCTGCACCCATTTGGATGATTTGGGTCATCGTATCTGTTAGCACATTCCAATGCATAAAAGATGAATTGTTTACCCACAAAAAAAGTAAAATATATAAAGGGGATACACTAATGGTCGTCCATTCTTTTGAAGTCATTTTGGATCTTCCGTAGACAAGAGAAACTACCAATGCGGCAATGCCTGACTATGTTTGGGCATGGGCATTCTTAAATTATTGATACTGATTTAGTCTGTTCTTTGAACATCAACAACATCCCTCCAACCTGGTTAGACATAGTTACTCTACAAGTTTCCTTTTTAAATAGATCTCAGTTAAGTAGGAAGACTGAAATCTAACGCTCCTATCATCAAAATAGTTCATAGGTGAAAAGATCTGGCAAAACTTCCGCAGAAGTGATCAAGGTTATTTGTATAAGTCATATTCTCTGTCTACGAAGATTACAGATCCTGTTTGATTTATTGTTCAGTTTTCTGATTAGCATTTGTACCTAGCTTTGGACATGTACTAATGTTCTAAATTATGTTTATTGGTCGTTGGTACCATGTCATTAGTTACTTGTAACAGTAGTTTGGAACAGACGGACATCTTAAAATGAAATGGAAGTGACTTGATCACTTGACACCAAAGAAGAAAACGGTGACCATTTTCATTGCTGTAAGTAGGAGCTAGAATTCATGAAAATCCGATATTATATTACAGTAATATCGGTCTGTTTTCATGTAGAATTGTTATGCTTGCTTAATTCTCTAGACATACAGAAAGACAGAATGGGTTTGCACTTCTGTTTTAGTTAAGTTCTGAAATCATGCGCTGTGTTTTTTGTGATTTGGTTCTTGTTTTTGGTACTCAAAAAAGTTTCAGTTGTATAACAAAGTGAAGAAGACAAAAAAAAAAAATGAGAAGGAAAAGGAATAAGAAGACACTCCTATGTAGACAGAATAGTTAACTCATCAAATAAAAGGTTATGTTGTGAGTGTTGGTTCCCTTGTATCATCCATCTTAAGCATATCAATTGAATGCCAATGAGATGGAAGATTTCTTCTCGAGGGAAATGAAGAGCGAGCTTTCAATATGGTTGTAATTTGTTGGGGCAATTTTATTCGATGAGCAATCTATTCGTTTTATTCCATAAGGCTCTGTTTTGATAGGTTTTTCAAGATTGGTGGTGTAGTTTCCGATAACAATAACAATTCTCACTTGAATATTATTGTGGAACTATGTAGGTTTAAATAGGAAAATTACAGTAAATAGTTAGGTAAATTACAGGTATTAATTAGTTAAATTACAAAAATTTAATTAGCTATAAAATAGGAATTAAAACTAATTAAATACTAACTAACAGCCCATAATTTACAGCAGCATTATTTTGACCACATAAACACTTATTTTTACAATCTCCCAAAGTTGGTGCATATATGTCAAACATGCCAAACTTGCATACTAGCAAGTTAAATGATGGTTTAGACATCCCTTAGTTAGGATGTCTACGATTTGGTCTACAGTTGCGACAAAGTGGATAGAAATTAAAACAGTTACGTGTAAACTTGAACTATTTGGCCTTGCCCTTATCCGTTTAAGTTGGGCATGTACGTTTCTTGAAGAGATCTCCGACCAAGCTGACTTTAGCAATATCTCCGCCTTTAGCACTGTGTTGCTTTCTGTTGTCCTCCTCTATCCGGATTCGGACAATCAGATCTTCAAGCCTCATTTGCTTTAGCTCACGCTTCAGCCCGTGCTTGAAGTTGCTCCAACTCGGGGGCAATTTCTCGATCATCACACTCGTGATGAACTTTGTCGGCAGTGGCATCTACTCGTCGATAACAGAGTAGACAATGTGTTGAAATTCTTCCACTTGTTCAACGAAAGACTTGCCACCTACCATTTTATAGTCCATAAACCGGGCCACAACAAATATTTTGGATCCGGAATTCTCGAACTTATATTTTTTCTCAAGGGTATCTCAAACCTTTCGCACTCTTTATTTTGCAATATACATTATAAAGAGAGTTAGAGAGGCTACATAATATGATATTCCTTGTCATATAGTCTCCATGTGCCCAAAATACATAATTCGCATGCGTCTGCTGATCCGCATCGGACTTTGGGGTAGTTGGGCCATCATGCAGCACGAACATGGCAAACCCAATCGCAGTCAGGTAAAAGAGTATCTTTTCCTGCCACCTCTTAAAGGCCACTCCAGTGAATGGTTGTGGAACTAATACATGGGGCATCATCCATGGGCCAAACCCAGGACCAACAGTTTGGGCCGCGAAGCTAGCAGCGGGTACGGCCACAAATCTAGAAAAGCCCCCATATCCACCTGGGGCAAACCCAAAAAACATAGGGCTACCTATAAAAAGAATCGGCTCAATTAGGGGAGTAGCAATTCCGGCGGTAGCTCCGGAAACTTATCCGGTGGCGGCTCCGGCAACTTCTCCGGCAGCGGTGGCTCCGGCAGTGGCTCCGGAAACACCTCCGACTCCGGCGTCAACTCCGACGACTGTTTCGGAGACGACTCTGGCGAGCCTTCCGGCAGCGGCGGCGGCAGCTCGGCGCCTCCGGAGAATCTTCCGGCCGCGGCTCTGGTGACTACTCCAGCGGGGGCAATTCCGGCGACTTCGACAAGGGTTGACATTCTCGCAAAGTAATATCTGATTTTCGATTGTTAGCTAAATAGGTATTGCAAGAAGTAAATTTACCGTGAAATCGAGTCGAGGATGAATTTTCTTTCTAAAAATTAAATACGCCCCGGTATTATCTCCGATGGCCGGCGTTCTAACCCAAAGATAAAACAGTTTTCATTTACGATTAGAGTAGCACCTCAGATCTTCGGAGCTTTGAAGAACAAAACAAGAGAGAAATTGAACTGGAAAGGTGTCCGGAAAGTTAGAAGAGAGAAGAAAAAAGAAAGAAAAGAATATTATTGGTGTGTTTAGAATGAAACGGGGAGGCCCATTATATAGGCGTCTTCACTTTGCCCAAATGGCAGAGGATCGTAATTGATTCTAATAACAAACTTTCTGTTTATGACGATCGTAATTTATTCTAATTTTAAACCTTCTGTTGAAAAGATTGTAATTTATTCTTATTTCAAACCTTCCGTTTGAGATTATAATAAATTTATCCAACGGAATATGTATTATCCAAATAATATTACGACTTAGGCCATATACCCGAGTTTAACTTAGGGCTGCACAATTTAGTTTGTCTCGAGACATGCAAAATAATCAAAATATTAACCAAGTCCCATATACAATAAATATTTATTTATTTCATTCAAATTAATCTAATCAATTTGGTTCACCGGCCCATCGCATTTTATTCACTAATTAATCGGTTGCGTAAATAACCGATTATCCAACAATTTCATGTATGTCTGAGGGTTGACATGCACTCATTCCAACCAACCAACTGTAGGAGTTCCCTTTGGGAGCTCTTAAACTTCCCATGAATGAATATTTTTTTACAGTACTCATTTCTTCTGAAACAACTTTTCTCCACTTTGAACTTTAAAGAGCATCTTGGATATTGTTAGGAATTTATATAAAAATGATATTTATGTAATGGTAGAATATTGTGGTGAGAGTTTTGAAGCGAAAACATAATTAGATATGGGATACTTAACACAAGAGTGGCTCGATTTTCTAATGGCAATTGGAAGATTTAGATCATATGACTCACTAGAGAGAGGTTTCGGTCTTAGTTCAATGGAAGGGCTTGTTGGTGTGTGTAAGATTGATGTAAATGACCGTTTCACCTAAAAGCTTAAACTTAAAGGGATATACATCACTTATTTATTTATATAGTACGGGAGGAATATACGCCACTATACGAATCTTGCACGTGGATGGCGACGAATGAGGATAGTGGGACTCGAACATGGGACTTTCCGGCTTTGATACCTTGTTAGGTGATCTTAAATGACCGTCTCACCTGTCAAACCCTTGTAGATCAAGTGGTGAAACATCTCTCATTTGAGGGCTAGGTCCTGGGTTTAACCCTAAGTGGGTGCGTGTGTGCTTGTGGTTGGGGGAAATCTCCATCGGGTGCGTGTGTGGTTAAAAAATAAGAAAATGACCATCAAAAGTTTTAGCTTGCATATCACTTATTTATTATATATTACTGAAGTTGTTGAAGAAAGACATATGAGAGGGTGTTGAAGAGAGACATATGGGAGGTTGTGTTCAAAAACCATTGAAACATCTACTAAAGGAAAAGAAGTGAGTGAAGTGAAAATGCGCATTGCCAATTCTTCTATGAAATGACATTCAATTCAATGCTTCTAAATCAAGAAGTTACGAGATTATGGTTGAGGCCATCAAACAAAATGATCCTTGTATAAACCTCTTAGTTATCATGAGTTGTGGGAACTATTTTTCAAGGATGCCGTAGAGGGCACAAACAAGTTGAAAGAAAGACATTAAATCATGGAAACAATATAGATGTTCATTCGTATCATACGAGTGGATAGACAAAAAGGGATGCCATTTGATAAATTTCTTGTCAATAGTCTAGAAGGGACTTTTTTCTTAAAGTCTATTGACGTATCAAGATTGCGTCACATGATGCAAGAACTTTGGCATATTTGCTTGAGAAGAAATTTAAAGAAATTGGCAAAGAAACATTTTGTGCCATTGTGACCGATGATAGGGCAAGTTATAAACGGCAAAGGGTCCATTGCATGGGTCTTATGTTGGATGGCATTGGAACATTGAGCAAATTTAAACCTTACATTCAAAGGGTTTGGGATTTCTCCGTTTCAATTTATCGACATAGGAAACTTCTTAGTGCAATGAAGGAAAGAACCGGTGGTAAAGATCTTGTTAAGCCGGCGAAAACTCGTTTT